CAAGATCATCAAGTACGAACTCCTTATACTATTCTGCATAAAAATTAGTTATTTCAAGTGGGATACGATCCACTTTAATGAGGAAAGTCTCCTTCAAGGAAAATGTCTGTTCCGAGCACTATTCGACAACCTTGACTTGGTCCCTGTGACGGGGCCCCCGCCGAAGGCCGTACACAACACCCACGGATCATTGATGCCTCGATGCAGCATGTATTGCACACACTGTGTAACTTTGTGTAATAGTCTTCCCCTCCCCCCCCCGTCCATTGACAAAATCAGTGTTAAGTGTAGCATTGTGCGACGGAGCTGTCGTACTATAGAATGACGCAGTATGGAATTGCAGGCGTCGTCGATTTTTTCTCACAATTTTTTTTTTTTTTGGGGGGGGGCATGCTTTGTGAATCAGCTTAACTATGCATTTCACGTCGGCAAATTTTTTTCTCGTATTTATATTTTTTAAAACAGAGAACTCAGCTCCTCAAAGCCTTTGAGTGTTTCGTATACTTTTCCATTTCCTAACGGCCCTAGAGTTGCCTCATGTTTGCAGCGATCTTAGGATCACGTGATTAGGCATCGCGACGGTGAAACCCCCGAACCACACATCTCGATTTACGACGTTGCAGACTTCCTTTCAAACTTCACTTCTTGAATAGAAGGCTACTCTACGTCAATCCTTCAAAACGTCCGCAATTTTTAATCTGTGCGAAGAAAAGTCTGTAAAAACTTCAAGGAATTGAAAATTTTTTCTTCGAAGTGATCTCTTTCAAAAAAATAAAATGAGAGTGGAGATTTAAACGCAAACGAAATACATTGCTTTTGATTTTAACCGTCGATTTGCTGCATCTTCAGGGTTGTCATGAAAGTTTCCGAAGTTAAGATGAAAAAAAATTCCGGGGGGGNAACGTTCCTGTTCCTGAAATAGCCGGAAATATTATTTTGGATACCGTGGTTGGTAGTTCATCGACTCGAGTCCGTTGATAAAAGCGAATTCAACGCCGAGATAATCATAAAACGGCATTCTCGATCTACAGGTCTCGCGGTGGCTGCTATGAGGGTACTCACAAGTTGCACTTGGAATGGTCTTGTCGCGTGCAAAAAGTAACGACACACAGTAGACCGAGTCAACCAGAGAGGTCGGACATGAAATTTTTGACTAAAAGTGCAAATTTTCATGTTCATTCCGTCACATGATAAACTCTAAGGGGTGCTTGTATAAGAAAATTTCTCAAGGAAACCAGCGGAACCACTTTTAGAACATCTATGTTTTGTTTAAACGGAGTTGTAAGCGTTTAAAGCTCTCAAATTTTGTCTGACCTCTCCCATTGACTCGATCCACTGTGTGGCACGACGTGTGATGTAAAGAGTGGTGTCACGCGCTTTTGAAAAATAAATTCCCCGTTATCATAAAGCTCCTCTCGTAATTGGTGAAGTTCTCGCATCGCAATGGCACTACGCAGGGAAAACCTAGAATTTTGTAAGACAATTTTGCCCAACTCTTGAGAGTCAGGAACTTTTGCTGCGGAACTTCAATGTTTTTGGCTTCTTTTATTTTTTTAAGCGAACTATCCGGTCAATGAAAAGCTCGAGTTTCGTCGCGCGACCCTAATCGCTGTTCCTCGCGGTTGTTGAACGTATTTTTTTACTCCTCCTTTTTTCCCCTCTCCATTTTTCCTCTTTCTTTGCCCTCCTTCTCTCGTTTTCATCATTTCAACAGAACTTAAAAAAAATCTTAATCGAGGTATTTGACCGATTCCATCATCAATCAAGGCATAGTTCGTTGTCTCAATTTGTTTTCTCTACCCCTATCCAATGATCCGAAAAAACCTAATATTCTGCGCATCACCCTTGCAGCCTCAAGATTGAGGGCAACCCTTCAGCTCTCACCTCCGTCGCCGTAACCTCTGAAAACGTATTTTCAGCCCAATGGCGAAGCATGAATAGTCGNGGGGGGGAACGTTCCTGTTCCTGAAATAGCCGGAAATATTATTTTGGATACCGTGGTTGGTAGTTCATCGACTCGAGTCCGTTGATAAAAGCGAATTCAACGCCGAGATAATCATAAAACGGCATTCTCGATCTACAGGTCTCGCGGTGGCTGCTATGAGGGTACTCACAAGTTGCACTTGGAATGGTCTTGTCGCGTGCAAAAAGCAACGACACACAGTGGACCGAGACAATCTTAGAGGTCGGACATGAAATTTTTGACGAAAGCTGTACATTTTCATGTTCATACCGTCACATGATAAACTTCAAGGGGTGCTTCTATAAGAAAAATTCTCTAGGAAACCAGCGGAACCACTTTTAGAACCTCTAAGTTTTGTTTAAACGGAGTTGTAAGCGTTTAAAGTTTCCAAATTTTGTCCGGCCTCTCTCATTGACGCGATCCACTGTGTGGCACGACGTGTGATGTCATACTTGAAGAGTGGTGTCACGCGCTTTTAAAGAAGAAATTCCCCGTTCTCATAAAGCTCCTCTCGTAATTTGTGAAGTTCCGCATCGCAATGGCACTACCTAGGGAAAACCTGTAATGAAGTTAGAGAATTTTGCCTAACTCTTTAGAGTCAGGGGATTTTGCCGCGGAACTTCAATGTTTTCGGTTTTTTTTTATTTTTTAAGCAAACTCCCCGGTCAATGAAAAGCTTGAGTTTCGTCGCGCGACCCTAATTGCTGTTCCTCGCAGTTCTTGACCATATTTTTTTCTCCTACCCTTTTTTTTCCTCTTTCTTCTCTCTCCTGCTCTTGTTTTCATCACTTGTACAGAACTTTGAAAAATCGCAATCGAGATATTTGACCGATTCCATCATCAATTCAGGCAAAGTTTGTAGCCTCAAGTCGTTTTCTCTACCCCTATCCAATGATCCGAAAACCGAATATTCTGCGCATCACCTTTGCAGCCTCGAGATTGAGGGCAACCCTTCAGCGCTCACCTCCGTCGCCGTAACCTCTGAAAACGTATTTTCAGTCCAATGGCGAAGCATGAATAGTCGATTATCGATATTTCCATATTTGAAGCTACGGTAAATAATCGATTATTTAGGTGCTCGTTGCGAACACCCTGTTCATCGATCCTTTTCCAAAGGTTTAAATGGCAGCTCAATCGATATATCGCAAAGCACACAGTACGCCACTGTTTCAGTCCAAACGGAAATGAAGCGGAACGTCAGCTGAAGGTCGTGAAGTAAGGGTGTCGAGTTTACTCTCATTGTCAGATCATTCGATCTCAAGAAGGTGAAGGTGGATACACTGTTGCCCAACTTTTATCGTTTGATTTATTTTTTAATCTTTATTTTCTAAAAAAGAAAGATTTCTAGGCATAGCCTTCGAAGTTTCAGCGGAATGTTGCCCCTAAACTATCATTCATTTTTACAATTTCCATCACTAGCATCGTGTTCTTGAGAAAATAGAATCAATATCGCTATTTTCTCTTCTTACTCTTATCATCTTATCTCGCACTAGCAACTCTTTGACTGAAAGCAAATTATCACCAAAGAACCGAAATGAACCCTTGTCAGAATATCGCGGGTAACCTGAGTGCGCATCGTCAGAATTTGACTACATTTTTCAATCGGGAACTAAAACTGGCTCATGGCCCGTAAAAACACTCATGTGCGTAGGGAAACTAATGGTACATACGTTGTTGTTCTTAGACTGAGCCAGAAATTGTAGTTCCTAATTGCAAAATGTAGTCCAATCGATCCACCATGTTCCATTTTTACAGGTGCACGTCGCCTTGTCTGTAAATTATGTGAACTTCACAGGATTTATAAACCAATATAAAGCGTGTTCTTCACAGTGTGAAGAAAAACCATTCTTTATTATCAATGACTTAGTCTTAAGACATTATCGAAGAATGTTTGAAGTAGAGAACCGTCTCTTATTCTAACCAGAATGTCGCGAAAATTCTGAGCGCGCATAATCGAAAGTCTACTGCATTTCAGTGTAATGTCGTATTCTTGCCACTGGGCAACGCTTCAGCGGAGAAGACACCGGCGAAAAATAAAACCTCCTATGTTATCTCCTCAAGGAATTATTCCTGACCCGCCGTCGTCCGCTCTCTCACCCGCCACCTAATTGCTCTCCTTAAATGGGTCATGGGTTTACACTACCATGCATGAGTGGCTCCTGTCCCGTTCCGTTTTATCGATCGATTCTGTCATTTTGCGCAATCATCCTAAATCAGATCCCGGCGACCGGCAAAGTTGCCGCTAATTGGTCGAAAATCATGACACATTTTCCCGAGGATCTCTAAAAATTTTGCTAAGTTCGTTCGATATCTCGGTGTTCGTTTACTTCCGGTGACCCTAAGCGGTGAAATTTGATTTTACTTAAAGCGCCTTCACCCTAAGCAAGTTGCTTAGGGTGAAAGCAAGCCCATTTCTCTGTGTCAATGTACCGCTCAGTAAAAAATTCCTGTCAAGTATGCCGTGACAAGAATTCTCAAAAATCTCGCTGAAGCGACTGGCTGTGAGCGAGAAACGCGGAAATTTCCTGTTGTTTCAACGAGGGATTCCTATGGCACCACATTTAAAAAGAATTTATGTTCACCCAACAAGAAATGTTCCTATTGAAAATGCCGCGTCAGAAATTCTCAAAAATCTCTATAAAGTGACTTGACTTCTGTCTGAAGTATTGGAGATACTGTTTGGAACACAGAATTTGTCTGTTCTTTCAACGCAAAATTCCTGTCGCAGCATATGTAAGAATTGTAAGAGGCATTCCTGTTGATCCAGCCGAAAATGTTTCTCGGTGCAAAACGTAGTAAACACGCACCTCCCGCGTCCGCCGGTGGACATTTTGCGTCAATCCATTGCTGCTTGGCGTCTTCAGTACGCTCACATGTTCGCCTTCACTGCGCATAGGCAGGCAATTTCTCGACTTAGGAGCACTTTGATTTGTATCTTGTCAAATCGTCGTTCTACATGTATGAGTGTTTCCGTTGTGTCTTTTTCCGATCTCCAACACACGAAATCTAACCTCGGATTTCCTTTTGTTTGTTGCAGGCCGGTCATCCGTTCGACGATGACTTCAAGTCCCGCATCGACAACCTCGCCCAAAGACACCCGGAATCGGCGGATCTCTTGCGCAACATCATCGGCAACTCCTGGTCCAAAGCGGGCAGCGGAAGTCCCTCCAACTCGCAGAGCGACGTGAAGAAGGACGACGTTGACGGCAGCGCCAACGGTGCCAGCAACTACCAAGCGGAGCCGCAGAACTCTCGACCGGACCCGAGCAACAAGGAGAACATCCATGAGATCAAACCGAACCTGTCGGAAGACAGCATGAGAGATACTGTCCTCCGGCCGAGCCAAGAAGAAGACGAATCCGCGAGAAACCAACGCTCCTGGTCAGCCCCGCCCGAAGGCAAGAGCGCCGAGCCCCAACGCTTCGTCTCCAAGATCGAGATCAACCCCGTGAACCCAGACGAATCGAACATGAACAGCAATACGACAGAGCAGCAGCAGGCGGCGCCGCCCCCGCCGCCTCCGCAACCCCAACCCGGGAAGCAACCCAACGTCCGGCACATCCCCATCTTCGTCGAGGGCCGCTCCGAGCCGGTCGTCTCCAAGGAACTCCCAACCGAAGAGGTCTTCACCCAAACTCGGGGCCCCACCCCGACGTTCAACGCCCGGCCCAACTACCAACAGTTCCCCTCACCAAAGAAGAAGAGCGAGAAGCAACACTTCGTCCACCAGGAACCGCCCGTGCAGTCCCCGCACAAACCCCAACCCCAGCAGCCGAACCACCACCAGCAGAACCACCAGCAACCCCAACAGAATAGCGAGCACCATAAAGCGGAACAGGCTCCGCCGCCCCCACCGCCCCCCGCGGCGCCGCCCAAGCCGAAGACGGCCATGGAGAAGGTGGAGGAGGTCCAGAAGGAGGTGGACGATCTGAGGAAGCAGGTGGACGAGTTCCAGGGGAAGTCGCGGCAGGAGAAGGCGTACCTCTACCTCGACGAGATGCTAACTAGGGAACTTATCAAATTAGACAATATCGAAACGGAAGGCAAGGAGGATGTCCGGATGGCCAGGAAGAACGCCATCAAAAGCATCCAGAACGCCATCAGCGTGCTAGAATCCAAAGTACCTTTACCTCCAACGAGTCCTGTAGTAGATAATAGCGAAACGTCCGTCGTGCTGTACGGCCAGGACGCCAGCAGCGAGACGGCGCCGAACGCCGAGAAGATGGAGGTGGAATCCACCAACAACTCGCCCCATGAGATTAGCGCAGACGAATCGACCGAGGTCAAAAAGAAAAAGAATACCTAAGCGGTCGTCCAGGCTGTGCTGTGTTTCTCTGCTGTACTTTTTCTTTTCACTTCGATTTTGTGTACTTCGTAATGGATCTCCCGAAACCTAGGATGAACGCGCTGTTCAATCCAGTTTACATTTCGTTAGATTATTGGTTTTTTTTTTATATATAAGTATATACTTCACTGTTAGAAGTCGTTTTGATGCGTGAATCTTTTTTTGCTTTGCACAAGACTTTTAGTCTAAAATTAGAATTTATCCTTCTCGCAGGATCGGATGTAAGATAGTTTTTCAATTAATTAATCGTAGGAAAGAAGCAAATGTTTTTGATCAGTCTTCTTTCTCTTCCTTCCTATTTAAAGTGTCAAAAATTTAAGAGTTAAGTAGGTACAACCATCCAAAATAGGTATCTCCTCTGTTGGGTCATTATTTTTCAACAAAAGCTGTGAATCAGCTGCTGTAATAATAAGCAGGGAGGGAGGGAGGGAGGCACATGAACGTAAATTGCGACAATAATAGTCGATGATCATAAAACTCATTCAGTCTGTTCGCTATTATATCAGAAAAGAATTGTCCATATTGAAGCTGCATTATAATAATTTACTTCACCACAGACTTTTAACGTACTGTAACATACATTTACAGTCTGCCTTTGAAATTATTTAACATTTTTGGGCAAGATAGTAAGTATTTGATCCCAAAAAAAAATGGGAAAGTTTTCTACTCTTTTGAAAGTATTTTTCAATTTTTAAAATTTCTATCGAATACATTTTTTAACTAATAGATAGCCTCTTCATGTTTGTCTGCTCTGTCTCAAATTTTGATAGGATTCCAAAGTTTCCTAACTTGGAAAGTAGAAAGACCTCGTAACATGTTTTGAGGCAAGATATATCCTCTTGAATTTATTCATTTTATTGTATGAGCATATTAATCACTGATTATGCCTAATCCCTCTCCAGCCTAAATTTAGTATATATCTATAAATTATGTCTCCAACATTTTAATTGCACTAAATGTGTGCTACATCAGTGATGAAATTTAAAGATAGAAATCTCCATTTGCAGGGTTGCAAACCTCCTTTCGCTTTTAATTCATCAATTTATTTATTTTTATTTTTTACTTTTATTGTAAGGAAAACTTTCCATTTTAATCACAGAAAAGTATGGATTCTGTTTTGAATTTAATATTGGAGGCTCTGCAGCACTGCAGTCAATTAATTTCTGATCAACCCGAAGTTGCGGGGTAAAACTATTTTCCTTTTTTAAGTTATGCATTTTTAGATCTATGGATCCATCATCAAATACAACCCCCATCAACTGTTAGCTAAAATTGAATCTCTAAGAATTTAAAAAAGAAGAAAAAAAAATTAGTTTCTGTGGTTTGATAAAAAATTCTCTTTCTTTGATCTAAAAATACAATTTCTGGAAATATTCATGGAAAAGTAAGGATCGATTCTCTTCTGAAAGGAGGAAGGAAGAATGGAAATGTGTGTGTTAACTTCAAATTTTTTTCATTCTTGAGTTACTTAGTGATACTGTATCAGACACAGCAATAATTGATCTTGTGAACATCAATTTTAACCATTAGTTTTTCCCTTTCTCTTCCTCATAATGATTCTCTACAGCCGTTCTATTTCCTCTAGGATTCTAGGAGATCCTGAGACTTTCAGCGTGTATTTTAATTTAATTGTAAATATATTTATATAATGACTATTTTGTTTATTACCTATGATTGTTTACTATTTCAATTCTTAAGTTTTATTCTAGTAAGATTAAATTGGTCCAAAATAAGATTTATGGTTTTCTCTCTTGATTTCTCCTGTTTCAATCCTCTAGCTCTGCTAGTTCAAAAAGTTAGGGAAACTGAAGAATGAAGTGAGGGTGTTTTTTTTTTTTTTTTTTTTTTTTTTTTTTTTTGTGCTGTTATTGATATTCCTACTTTGGAAACACGTACCTCAACTGCAACATTTGATAATGTAGTTATTTATCTCTATGAGTGCCTCTGTAACCGTCAGAAAGGATCTCAAGGAAGTTAAATAGAAATATAATAGTGATCCGTTTATAAATTAACATGCCAAGTACGACTGGAAATTTTCTAAACGTCAATCGAAAAGCAATGGCACCTGGACATAATGGAATCTCACAGGGGCTGAAAAATGTTTCATCTGTTTGCTGCCTTTACAGGCAGGTCCTTTTATTTGCGTTTGTCATAGCTAATCCTTAGAAAATGTGTAAAAAATTTCTATTGAGAGCTGTTTATTGACCATTATCAGGTTGGGTTAAGTCCCAAGAACGAGGTTGGGAGTTTTCGAAGTTGAACTATCAATACATTTGTGATTGCAAGCTAAAGTGTCGTTTTCAATTGTCATCTAGGAAGAAATTTTTTTTATTTATCGGTGTTTCTAATTATATTTGCAAGTTAAAGATTACAAAAGTACCTCTTCATCGACATTGGCCATAATCAAAAGCTTTTTTGTAAGAGCTTAAGGAGAATTTCTTTCTTTCCAGTTGCGTAGGTGCAATTTATGACCATTTAGCTTGCAGTTGCAAATTCCTCCGCTGCCACTTTCATGCAATTTGACAAAGAAAGAAAAACTTTACAATTTACATATCTAAAATATTTAATAATCTCTTTGGAAGATTAAAACTTTCAATGTGACATCTTGTCCAATCTTATATAAGTAGTTAAGGACACTAGAGGCCTTTACATGAGCAAATTAGCCTTTTTCATATATTGTCGTGTAATGTAATGTGTATGGTTATCAGTAAAAAAGAAGTCAGTTGAATTGAAGCTAGAAATTATTTTAAATAACAAGTATACACTAGAAAAAAAATCAATTTCTCTTTGGTATAAGTGAACATATCACATTCACTGAAATCTTTACATCAATTGAATCAGTCAGTGCGAAAATGTCCAAGGTCAATTTCAGTTTTTCAGAATTGTAGCTGTTTGCCCAACAATACTGATAAGGAAGTCTACGCCCTCGACAAACTTTTCACTATTTTGGTGAGACTCAATGGTAAAGCTCCAAAGAGGTATAGCAAATAGAATTCGGTGAAATTAAGTTACCACAAAGAGAGAGAGACATTGAGGAATTGGGAGCAACTTCTTCAAGGTTGAATTTTGCGGCAAGGTTCAAAGGACTTAAAAATTGATTGAAGCATTTAAATTGACACATTTGCTCTTTTTATTGCACATTACATCTCTGGCTGCTGTCATATTGAACTAAGACAAAAGGTATGATAAAGTTTCTCAAGGAAAAAACTAAAAAATAGGTGTTAAGCGTAAGAGGTCTTTCACATTATCTCGGTTGCACCTCAACTATTTTCTGACATGAAAATTAAAGAACATGCTCAGACTCTTAAATTCAAATGGAGTAAATACTTTTTGGGATTAAATAAATACATACTTAATTGTTTAGTAAATGCTGACAAAAAGTTAATACCATCCAAAATTGAAAATGTTAGCGATGAGATCACTGTGATTTAACAAAACTAAAATCTTCGATGTTATATCGAATAGATCAGGTGAAGGCTCTTCACCGTTTGAATTTATTCATTGGTTAATTAGTTCCAACAGAGTGTTGGTGATTTTGCCTTAAATTATTGTATATGTTAAACTGATATTCTCATTGCACTCTCTTTACATTCTGTATAAACAACGTATCTACGGTAGAACTTTCAGACATTATATTTTGTTTGCGGTGTTTTAAAATTTCTGCTCCTATTTTATTATTTTAAAGGAAAACAAATCAACATTATTCCTTGAAATTTTCACAGAGTTTCTTTCTGCAGAGAAGAAAAAGTTCACGAGAGTTTTGAAAAATTGTCGTGAGTAGTTTTCTATTTAAAAAATAAAGATTGTTAACAAGTTGGCAACGTCGCATAGCGAGACACATCGTTTGAGGCTCTGCAGGGAGAGAGCCAAAGCAATTGAGGCATTTTTTTCAAATTCCAATATTTTTAGGGAATGAAAGACCAGTTGAGTACTGCATTGTGGATTTAGTGCTCTCTTTATTTTTCTCGGACAACAAAAGCACCATTTTTTTTATCAAAGGGCGAAAGGAGGGACTGTTGCGCATTATTTACCATGCTATCATTTCCTAACTGACCAACTTCTGATCTTCAGTGTAGTAAGATGTCAAGCAACAACTATCACATTTCCATCTATTTCAAAAAAACTTAGACTGCAATGAATTGATTTTTTTTCTCTCAATTTTTTTTGCACAAGCCTACGTTCAACAGACCTCCTCCGTCCACTAAAATAGATAGAATTTTTCACATAAGCAAAATTCAAATAAATGCATGACATTAAAAAATGTTAAACGATCAATAATATTCTCCAGCAATATAAACGGAACAAATCTATACGGATCTCTTATTTGATAATTACAAGTTTAATACAAACTGACGAATTTTAAGTAAAGCTATGACCTCTTATGACAAAGAAATTCAACAATCAAAACCACAGCCGTGATGAGAAAAACAGATCGAGGGAGGGAAGAGATTTGGAGAAAAAGAACATGGGAGAATCTCGGTTACAAATCCGCCAAGATTTTGCATCTTTCCCTCTATGTTAAAGTAAAAAATACAATTGATTTCCCAAAACGGAATCGTATAAAAGATACTGCACAAAACCATTGTAAAAAAAGACTTCGGAATTGAATTACATAGAAGCAAATTCTGATTTCTCAGTTTTGCAGAAAATTCGATTCCTGCTCCCATGCGCATCAGATATTCCCAAGCAAAAACGGATTTTACTTCATCATTACTTACCGAAAAATGTTTGATAATATCATAATACACAGATCCGAAGTAACACTATCCTCATGGACTTTTTTACGCGTGTTAGTGCATGTTTCTTGAGAGATTTCATCGAATTGTTGGTCAATTTCGGTCCAAGAATTCAAGCCCATTCTTTCATAACCCTTTCAAAGTCGTCATCTTCAATGAAAGGTTTATCGATTAAATTAATAAAAAGATCACCGCAGAAGAAGCACTCATACGCTAAAATGGAATCTATTTCAGACTTAACTTTATCTATAGGTGATAACGTTGTGGAATTCACTGAAATGCTATCGTCTCGATTACTTGATGTTAAAACTGCAAACTGCTTTTGTTTTTCCTGGAGCTCGAAACGTTTTTGAGGCTCTAGTAGTGGGAGTAATTCTTTGGTTAAACATGCTGAATGAAACCGGTGCCCACATGGGAATGTATAAAATGACCTAAGCATTAATTGTATATTACATAAATCACAAACGTCCGAGACTTTGATGATGGTATACCTGTTACGAAAAGAGGCGATTTCACCACGTATAATGTTGGCAGATTTTGTAGCGCTCTCAATATCCTCTTTGATGTCCTTTATGTGCTCGTTATACTTTTGTAATGAGTCACAAATTGCATCTCTAAAATGATCTATGGTATCAAAATCAGAGAAGAAAGGCAGAATATCTTCAATTTTTATCAGATCACATTCTTTTAGAAATTCCATTGCTTCTTTGATATCATTATTTTTGCTAATGATATGTTCCGCTATTTTCAACCATAATTTCTTTCTAAGTTCCAAGCTACTGTGAGGTGGAAGAGCCGCAGTTTCTTTGGCTAAGTCGATGCTGACAGTTAAAGCTAAATCAACTGCTGATTCCCATAAACCTAGCAAAGCTGACAGTTTAACACAAGCTTTGGTAAGCTTGTGTTGCTGACATAGAGTTAAAGCATACCTGACATCATAATTTACCATGCTTATTTCTTGACCTTGAATATCAATATATTTCATTAACTTAGTTTCATTGTACCTAGCATAAAGTGACAATAGATAATTATGTAAGGACTGATTTTGATTGAATGGACAACACGTCTCCAGGTACCGCATTATTTCCACAGCGTGGTTTTCATCAATGTTACTTGCAACGAATGCAGGCAAGAGTTTTACAGGATCTAAGTTTTTACTTTCCCTAATGAGTATTTGAATGGCTTGTCGAGGAATAGCCTCTAAGATCACTGGCATGAACGGATAAAATAAGTCCCTATTACTTTGATTCATTAAAGTTGTTAAGGCATCTTCGTAGTTTCCTTTCATTATTTGCTGTCGAATTACCTTCTCAAAATTTTTGTTTTCTATAGTTAATCTAATTAAATTCTCCTTGTCACCATGGCTCGCAATTAATTCTTCTATTGTGCTAAAATTTGCCCGAATACATTCAACAACTTGCGGTATTCTTTTAAAATTTTCAAATTCTTCCTGTAATTCTCGGTACTCAACAGTGTTGTCCTTCCCATCGAGTCGTAAATTTCCTGACTGATTTAAAAATAGTTCAAACATCCAAATTGATATCATCGTAATTTGAGTTTTGTCTTGGGGTTGTTTTGGGTTTAATTTTTCCAATTTTTTCCTCAAGAATAATTTCAAGCCATTCAACTCCCAGATCTGTAAAAATTTCAATGCTATTTCTTCAAATGAACTTTGAGTGTCTGCGTACAGTAGAGCGCTATTTACGTAATCCTCTGTTTCAAAGTATTTTTCTGCCTGCTTGACCAGAACTTGATCCAAATAGATTGGGTTATCTTTGCAGTATTGTTTCGCTAATTCGTATTGTCCCTTTTCCAGATAGATTTCCCAGACATTGCGATCTTCTTTCACAATTTTGTACCTGTTTGAAATAAGAATAGAAAAAAAATTATTGTGCTGCAATTACAGAATACATAAAAACAGGAACACAAAGGGTACAAGGTTAGCTTGTAACCGCTGTTACCTAAAAATATGAAACCTCTAAAAAACCTGTAATTACAAATTTTTACAGCCAAGAGCAAATCCTGTCTAAACAAGAGAAAACATTCAATTCGCTTAAAAGGGTATCTAAAATTGCTTGGGCTAAGCAACTTCGTGTTTTTTATTGGAGCCATTGCCCTGTATTGACTTTCTTCTTCTTCCTTTTGTTTCATTTTTTATGTAATGACTTCGAGCAAAACCGTATCATTCCACACTTATTCCAAAGTTGCTGCAAGAATTTTTTTAAGAATCGTAAATTAGAATTAAGCTACAGGAAATTTGATTTAATTCGGCAAAGGATCAAAACTATAAGCCATTCCAGGTCACTGAAGCTACCAGAAAATGAAACTGGTTCTCCTACTTGACACTTTACAAAATTGAAAAAGGGTTCCTCTATGAAGCATACCTGAAAACAGCTTTTGCAGCTACCACCCAGACAGTCCCTGTGACAGGATCCTTGTTAATTGAAACCAACTTCCCATGTGCTTCATTGTAATAATTCTCAAAAACCAACTTTCCATTAAGTAAAGAGATGCCTGTTACGTGATCAGAGTACAGTAACAGAGCATGAAACTGGGTGATGGCAAATGATATCGGCTGTGAATTCGGGTCAGGCAGTTCTAAAAGCTGCGCAGATTCAATTACGCAGGCATCATCGCTGATCGTGGAGTCCAGCTGATGAAAACAAAAAAAATGGATTACAGTTAAAAGTTAGTTACTTAAAAATTTACTTACAGTATGAATAGAGTACCTTAATAGGGAGAGTATGCACAACTAGAAAATTTGGAGGTTCCGTTTGATTAAGTCATGTAGCTCTTGGGGCCCAAATGGGCAGCCAACCTATGAACTCGAATCATCCAGTGGTACTTATTTTCACAACTCTTGATACTCGTCGTTTCATAAACTATAAAAGCATGTATAAAACTTTGATTTCGGCTCGATTTTCTCAGTTTCAAAGTCTTAATCCTTAAAGACGCTTGTTTACAATGCGCTGTCGGCCATATTGATTAATCTTTCAAATGCATAGGTTGACAGCGGCACTTTTCTAATGATTTTCGTTTCACAAGTTGTCGCCCTTTCGGGTCCTGAAAGCTACATAAATCGAGCTGTCTACACTCTCCCTACAAAGGTACTCTACTTATGACTGTCTACGAAGACTTCCTGATTGACCGCAATACAATGGGCACTAATCTCCTAACTTACAAAAACTGGACTTACAAGGGCTTACTCATCGCAAGTGGATGACCAAAAACGGATCTCCATTGCGATGTTTCCAAATTTTCGGCTCCTATCTTATTGTTTCAAAGAGAAACAAGCCAACGTTAAAGCTTGAAATTCATACAGAATATTCTGCTAAAAGAGAAGAAAAATCATGGAAGTTTTCGAGAAATTACTTTAACAGATTTCTTGAAGAAAAAATAAAATATAACAAGAAGTCAGGAATGTTGAAAACGGAGATATGTGGTTTCTCACATGGGCTTTTGATATTGCTTACACCCTTTTCTCATCAACGGCTCCATCTGATTATATGTATTAACCACTTGAATCGGATCATTTCAAAATTACTAATAGCCATGAACAAAGAGCAGAAACATTCAAAATACAAAAATTGATAAAAAAAAAAACATGAAAAACAGGGAAAAAAAACAAACTACCTGTCCGTAATATATACCAGCACTGGTCAGCCATGCAAAAGATTTTGGAGCCAGTCCAGGAGCAGGATAATAGAACTGAAGTTGAGAATAAACTGCAGGTTCCGAGACAGGATAACAGATTTCTGCACACAGTAATACATACATTAGGACAAATCAAATTAGAAATTATATCCGAAAAATTTTGATTAGGCAGTAAAATAGTGCATTATCTACTCTGAAATGGATTCAGTGGGTAATGATTTTGACTGATAATATTTAAAATAGTGGGTCTGTGGCAAGGAATGTTTGGGGTGTTTTATTTGTAGTTCAGTTTTTCTGGTGTAAAATCTTGTGAAAAAGCCAAGAAGTTCGAGAAATCATTTCTAGCGGAGGGACAGCTGAGTAAAAGCCGATAGTCAAGTTGACGTAGCAAGGCAAAGTTCAAGGTTTAGCCAATCAGCAAACACCATTTCTCCCGCCTGGCTATGTCATTAGCGCCCGCCAAAAACACCTTTTCAAACGGGACCCATTCTTGAAATTTTCAAAACGGAATTCCTTTCCCAATTAGGGTATACAAAAATCTGATAAATTCCTGAGAGCTTAGTTCACTGAGTACTTTTAGAAAAAGAACAAAACAAAAAGTGGTTGCCACTAACTCATTGAGTGTATGAACTGTTGAGGGAATAATTTTAGAACATGTAACAGGCCTTATTAAATTTACTCGTGCTTTGTAACCTTAATACTCCTAAATTGATTAAATAATTTGGAATTTTTTAGGTTGTACGTTTTCCTGTTGAAGTGAAACAATGCCACAAAATGTACTTTAACAGAGTTGCTATAATAATTTTAGTGTTTGACATAAGAGATTAAAATCGAGAGAAGGCAAGCAACGAAAATGGCCATTGATGAGAAGAAAAATTAAAAGATGAGTGGGTAAAAGACTTGCCTTATGGGCAGCCTCTAGAGATTGATGACAAAATCTTACCTGGTTTAGTTAAATAATTATTGAAAACATTTTTAAGGAATGGTTTTTTATCTTGACTGCTTACAGAACCAACAAATTGGTAAAATTTACTATAGGTAGATACAAATACGAAGTATGTATCGGAGGACGGAAGTTGATGATACTCTATACTAGTGATAACAGTGGTGGTTCCTTTCCCTATATCAAACAACTGTAAAACAAAAGCACAATTACACAAATAGAATTAATTAGGCTTTCATACTTTTTGAGTTTTTGAACAACTAATTCCTTTTACTTTTGAACAGAACCCTCTTTAAAGAGAGCATATTAATGGCCAGAGTGCAAAACCACATACCTCCATTGCAATTTTTCATTGCCTATTTTCCAAGAGAAACAATCTAATTTTCAGCTTGAAATTCATATGTAATATTCTGCTAAAAGAGGAAAAAAATCAAGGAAGTTCACAAGAAAATGCACTGACAGGTTCTTTAAAGATGAATTAAAGTATGACAGGAAAACTGCAACATCGCAGACGGAAATACGTGATTTCTCGCTTTAGCCATTGATATTTGAATTAGATTTTGCTTTGCTGCTTCATCAGTGTGACAAAAAAAAAAAAAAAAATGAGGAAAAATGCTGGATTTTTACGACAACTTTGCAGGAAGTTTTTTCAGATCGCACATCAGAAAACTTTACAACCAAAGAAATAAAATAAAAAATAGTTTCGGCTGAGACTAATTTATTCTCAAATTCATCTATAATTGTATTGTATTTTTACAAACAAGAAACTCATTTGACCGACAGATTGGTGGTCTGATAGATAGGTAAATTTCTGTTTAGATGGAAGTATGCCAAACGAGCAGATGCATAAAATGGAGGAAAACGTCAATTCTTTCAAGCTATGGAATATGTACTTGGATTATTTCCTCTTTTGAGGGGGCAGGATCCACTTTTGTCCAACAAAAATACTGAATAAAACAAAAAAAATCAGGCTAAAAATGACAAAATAAAAAAGAGAGCAAAGTGCTCTTAATTTCACATTTCTCTGCCTACCCCTTCATTGAAAAACTAAACATGATAATAAGAGAGAGATAAAATCTAGACATACTTACTTCTCTCCTGTCGAAGTTTGATTGAGCTAAGTAAGCATTGCGGAAAGTATCACTACTGGCGTTCAAATCTGCTTCATAAATTACACCTAAAGATGATCCCAATAAAATTGGACCACTGTTTACCAACTGGTTAGGCCGAGATTTGTGACACCAAGCAATAGCCGTTACTTCTGTATTCTTAAGCTGCAGTCTTGAGGGCTAAAAATTTATTTAAAAGAAAACAAATCAATAACAAAGAGGGATACATTGTTAACATGAAGAATTATTTAGGTTTCTATTAAGTCAATATTTTGCTAGCATTTTATTTAAGTTAGTGTTTGTATGACACATTACTGCCAGATAGAGCTGAAAAATAGCTCTTTCCTCCAATTATATCAATGTAAAATATCCATATTTTATCTTAAAACCTGGCAGTTCAAAGAAAACTTTTTTTTTGCCCCTGGTTTTAGAATTTGATTTAATTTTACACTAAAGGTTTAGTTTTCCCATGGGTTTTCTGGCCTCACAGGTAAATATACATTAAATCTGATCAGCATAGAACAGGTTAAACGTAATGATAGTTGTTAAATGGTTAGGATGCATTCGGAGTCAAATCAAAGGATTCACTTGATTACCTGCTAAAATATTAGAACAATGACTTACGCTCTTGTTCTCTGACGAAATAAGGTTGAAGTACAATAATTCATGTTCTCCATTGGGTAATCTTGGCAACAAGCTAAGGAGAAGATGATTTCCAGAAACATCTAAAAAGATTCTACCCAATCGAGCTTGCATTATGTCTTTGGTCAGATCTTTTTCTGGAAAAATAAAACTTCAGTTCATGATTGATATAGGATTTTAGATAGATAGATAAATAAATAAATAAGCAAGAGTTAACTGGGCAAAAAAAAAATTGCGAAGTGAGAAATTTGTCCAGAAAGTTTGGAAATAGTTAATTTTCACTGCAAAAGAGAGGAACAGAAGCTTTCTTTGATACATGACCTACAACTATATTCATCAGCAACTAATTAGACCGCAGAATTCGAGATGAAACCCTGCGAATCGCAACTTCTACTGTCCCAAGATGAGGTCTGCTTGTGACTAAAGCTGATGGGAATCACTGAGCTTTTTAGACAAAAATGTTTTCTTTGCTCTTTAAAAGGAAAAAACTCATTGGAAAAGTTCTTTGATTTCTTTCATTTTGGAGTAAAATGCAAAAGCACTTTTGCAATGATACATGACTCACCATTTGGTCTTCTCTCTTGGTTCAGAATCTATTGAAATTTTAGCAGTTTATTAAATTTAACAGAATCAGTTCTCAAGCACGATAGAAAAAATGTAGGTTCGAATAAATTAAAAATTCATGACAAACCTTTAGGATTATCAGGATCTTTCAAACTTTTATACAGAAGGGTAGTATTTGCCATCACAATGACTACCAATTCATTACAAACAGCCATATGAGTAATACGCTTTGTGGGTAGGAAATTCACCTTCTGCTTTGTAAACATGGGTTTCTCCTCCTGGAGCGCTATGTTAACATAGTCAGAGGCACTCTGAAAATAAAAATAAATTCACGATGAGTACTTGACATTCATTTTTTCCCTTGCTTTCATTCACCAGCTTCGTAAGCGTTTACTCATTCGGTAATCAATCACTGAGACTTTCGACATACCTCTGATATCATTCATCTATCATTAAGTTAGCAATTCCAGTCTCACATTTGGACCGCGTTAAACAGAAAGGAACCAAGCCACATCAGCTCTTGCCAAATTTAACTGGGCAATTTAATATTTTACATGAAAACGGTTGTGCGGATTTTCGGGCAAATCTCAATGAATTTGCTTCATAGCACGAAGCAAATTTCTTACAATTTTCTAACGAATCCGCACAATCGTTCTCTCGTAAAAAATTAAATTACCCACTTAAATTTGGCAATAGCTGATGTGGCTTGGTTCCTTTCTGTTAAACGCGGTCCATTTGATTTTGAAATTTAGTAAAAACGTTTATATGCAAGTCAAATTCCGGAGGAGCTTGGAAGAAATCATCATCTTTGAATTCCCTTAGTTGCTCTTAATTCCAGGGAACTAAGAATCATCATGCTCCTTATGAGTTTATTTTTTGCAAAAGTCAATTGGACTTCATTTTGCAATTGAGAACTACGATTTCTGTTTCAGTTCGGAAAGAACATATGTACCATTAGTTTTCCCATACACACAAGTGTTTATACACATCAGCCAGAAGTGGTGGCTCCTAATTCCAAAATGTGGTCAAATTAAAAAAGCCCGCAGCTCAAAAGTAGGTTAGTTGCTTTTGATACATTTTGTGGAAACTTTGATAGGTCAACATCAAGTTCATTTTAGTTCCAAAACCAAAAAATTAAGCTTATCGAATGTAAATGTGGAGAGATTCTTGCGCTTGAACGAGCACATTTTTCATTTTTGATAATGCACAGCAGAGGAATAAAAAGCCCCCCTCTCAACCAAGTATTTGACACTTTCTCGTGGTTTTATCGGGTGCTTGAGAGCCAATATGATAAACTTGCAGTTTCCTTCCCTCCCTGTATAGGTCAATTCTGAATCGACAACTTCAGGCAATTCAGATTTAACCAATCAGAATGGTCCAGCCTAGTAGCATTGTTCCTCAACAAATAAATACTGCCAACTGCCAGTCTAAAAAGACATTTCCTGTGAAGGCTTCTCCAAATTCAGACATTATAATTTTTCAATTATCCATGTAAATTTCACATCAAAACATAATGCTGAGGGACGTGCGCCAGCATATTCTCATGATTTGGAAGCAGATCAAGCTTCCTCAATCTATCAAAACTTACCAATTCTGGTAAAATCGGAGCTCTCGTCATCACGGAGGGAGAAGGATTCCTCTGCGATGTTTGCTCGAACTGATCGAAGATGGACGTCATCTTTGCCACTTTGATTGAATGATCTATGAGAGAAGAGAAAAAAAATTATCAATGAAATCCTATCAAAGAAGCTTTTACAATACTACCTTACAAATAATTAAGTGGGTAAGAAAATGATGATCAGCAGGGCAGACGTTCCTACAGAAAAACAATGCTTGATTTTCCAGCCCTTCGTTGTCGAAACACTTCAGTATTGCTCCAATGTTGTGAGAGTTTAGAAAAGAACTTCAAACAATTTAATCATGATGATTTTTCTTTGAAAAGTGTACTTCTGTTGTATACCTGTAAGACGGCACGTCAGGGATACAAGAACCGATGCGTCTAAACCCAAATGAAAATTGCAGATTAGGCCCGTCTTTGTGATGAACATTACCCATTTGAAGACAGGAGAAAAACTCAGCCAAAAAAAATTACTTTAAAACGACGAGCAATTCACAAAAAATATGGAAATTATTAATAGCTATAGATAGTAAACATAACCTCCAATCTGGTTGATAACAGAGGAAAGAGTTTAGAACGGTTTCAAATGCTGACAAAATATTGCAAAATATTAGAGGCATGATATGAAATTGATACCTGTTTCAAACTTGAATTTTTTAAGTCATCGCAGGAGATTCAATGAAAAATTGCACAGACAACCGTATCTATCTTCTGCCGTTTCCGCCTCTCCAGCCTTATCAATGAATTTCAATTGATGTTGATGATAAAACAAGTTCATCATGTGCAACAACCTTTGAAATTAGAATGCTCTTCCATGAAGAGTTCTTTGATAAACCTTACGGCGAAGTCAATACAATTATCTATAATTATGGACAAAAATTGATTGACCTTCTCAAAAATAACTGTCAAATAATTCTTTTCGCGTGCTTCATATATTGGAAATTCCAACATCAACAAAGTAATTTTTGGGCTCAGTACATTTTACATTTTTTCATACTGGTGTTCTGTCACCTAAATAAAAATAAACAAAACAACTTGGAACTTTGGAAAGTTTACATAAAGTTTTGTTTATTCTGATTTTTTGAAGTTTAAATTGAAATTAGTGTCTTGAACTACTCATCAAACTCTTATAATCTACTCTGTTCATGTCTCCAATTTAACAAATGAAACTGAAGACCCAGTTCCCCTCAATTATTTTCCAAAATTTGTTCAAATTTTCTAGCAGGTAATCACTCTCATATCCAAACTCACTGAAGCGCGTTAAAAGAAATCAACGTCTTTGTTCTGCCCACACCAAATGGACAGGCAGGAGGTGAACTGTTTAGAAGAAAAACTGCGAGAAGCAGCATGTATTGGTGATTTGGAAGCTATTGTCACTTTGATAAAAGAAGGAGTAAATCCAAATGCGCAACATCTCATCAATGGATGGTAAGCTTTTACCATTGTATCTCTCAAAATAGAACCAAGATCAGTTAAACCCTCAGACCCTCTTGGGATGGCTAGATAGTGTGATTTAGAAAGCTCACAAGAGTCCAGAATGTTCTTTTCTTTCATATAATATGTTCTTTTCGTGGGAGGGCCCAGTGCCGGTCAAAAAATGCACTTAACAGTTTTCCTTGGATACAAAAAAAGACAACGCTCTGAAGGACATAAGTAGTACGCGTAAAGTAGCATGCTTGACAGTTTTCTTCACGAAAACCGACATTTTTGACAGTTCTTTGCACCAGAATTAGTACCTGCATTTGACACTTTTCTTTCCAGAAACCAATGCGTTAGAGAGTTTTTAATTTTTTTCCTCAATACTAGATTTGCTGACTGTGTGGCCTTTATTTAACACAGCAGAGGATACAATAAGTTGACTAGTCTCCCCATAAAAAACGTGAAGGCTCAGTATGCTCAAGAGGCCCTAAAGAGCATTCTATCAAATGATGACAAAATATGGACAGTGCTAAATCCCATGTAGTGTCCTTTTCTTTCATTTTCGGACATAGAACTACATTGGCAAATAAAACAAGTCCAAAATCTCATTCTTCATTGTTAGAAACTTATCAAGGAACAAGGAACATTTTAAAGTAAAAGTATCAATGTTATTATATTTTTTTCTCTCTCTTTTGTGCTCCATAGGACTGCACTTCACTGGGCTGCCAAGCGAGGTCAGTTAGACATCGTTAAGTATCTTCTAGAGCATGGTGCAGACAAAGCAGCCTTAACAAAGAAGGGTGAAACCCCTCTCTCCTTAGCTTCTCGGCCAGATGTCAGGACTGCATTGGGTGGAGAATCGAGCACATCAGCACCTTCAGAGAGTTTATCCATTACTCCTAATTATCTCAAATATGCACCATTGAATCCTAAGGTTGATCTTCCATCTAAATATTCCCATAATGAAACAACACCAATCCACGACAGCACAAAATCTTTCAGCTCCATGAATTTAGACAATGAAGGTAGGCACTATCTCAGAATTGCCTATTAAAGAGAGATTTTCTTCTTTTTTTTCTTCTTATGTTATAAGATGAACTATCAAATAAAACTTTTATCAAAAGCATCTTGGATCAATTAAATATGATATTTTAGTCCAGATCATCGATGTATTTGAAGTTGGACCAATATTTGTTCTCTACAGGATGATCGGGTGATCCAAGAGTACCGCACCATCCCTGAGTGTTTCTCCATTTCAGGGTGATCCCCATCAAATTTTGGGAGGGTTCCAAAAATTGTTTCCTTTGACCGGGGAGAGTACCCTCAAAACTTTGAGTATCCATCTCAATTTATTCAAAAATTAGAGGAATGATGCCTGGTGCTGGTTGTGCAATTTTTGAGATCACTTTGTATAGAACATGCCCCCCCCCTAAAAGTATCAATTAAGCTTGAGATCATTATTTTCAGAGTCATGAGAAATTTCGAAAGCACTCGCTCAGACAGTCAAAGAGTAGGTTTAATTGTTTGGAAAGGGAGACTTTCCCGGTAGTAAACGATGTTAACTAGGGTCAATATACTTCATCATATGTCGAATAATTTTCTGGAGAACGTTTCAAATTTTTAGCAATTATGGACTTTAAGCTTTCCAAAATACTGTGAGAATTATTATTGCCAACAAAGCTTTACCTGCCAAAATGCCTTGCTCATTTTGATAATCGACTGAGGATAAAAATCAGGCAGTCAAACGTTATTTTCAAAAATCTTCCGTAATTTTTCTGAAGGTATCTATTTTTCATTTTATGTAACAAGAGTTCAAAGAAGGCGCAAGAAATCGCATACAAGGCTGCGTTCATCTACCTCTTACTGAGCAGGAGTGAGAGGCAAGAAAAGAATAAATGTAAATTTAGTCAGATTTTATGCCTTGCCTCTACTTGTAAAAGTTTATTTTGGTTAAAAAAATTTTGTTGCAAGCATTCTGTTTTTTATGATATTCTTAATGAAATTTTATTTATTGTTTTCAGAACTAGTCCTGAAAGTGCGGATTGCCAGTAATGTGGTTGACAACGACTTCATAGAAATAGAGTTACCCAGAAGAGAACAGACGTACTACTCATTGCTACGAATTTGTTGCGAGGAATTAGGTCTAGCCACAAATCAAGTGAGCAGAATACGAAAACTTCCCAATACACTTGTAAGGAAAGACAAAGATGTACAACGATTGAAGGAATTTCAAGAACTAGAACTCATAATCAATTCCTCTGCCTCTGATAGTGCCTCCCAATTCATCCCAAGCATGAATGGTCTTTTCGCCAGTTATCCATCAAAATCCAAGAACCAACCAATTTTATATTGATACTCCTTGATATCGGAACCCTCACAAGTTTCAAATAAAATTACAACCTGCCGACTTTTGAATGCAAATGATTTTCCCTTCTATCTTGGATTAAAAATTTGTAAAGTCAAAGATCTCTTAGCACCGTATTTTTTAACTGTAAAAATCTTTTTGTTATTACGTATGCACTTAAGATGTTAACTTAATGTTAACTTTGTTAAAATTAATTTAAATTATAAACCAGATTAGAAAGATAATTACGGCAACAATTCTTTGGTGAGACACATCTCTGCCAATGTTTTTATTCATGAAGATTCTCCTCACTTGTTTGATTTTGATTCCTTCCTATTTTGAACTTCAAAATTCTCAACTTTAATTTTGATTTTACTGAGAAAATTACTCCGCTTTCGAAATTCACCATCTTTGAGAGCTATCTTCATCCTACATTATGTATTCACTTGCCCTTTCCATAAAAAGATCATTTCTAAATCATTGTGTACTTCATCTTCCATGATTTTTTTCCTCTGCACTTTGAAAGAATGAGTTCTTCTCCCTTCCACAACAAAGAAACCTGCAATATTGATGGAGGATGAGTATCTGTCGATATATTGGAAGAAACTTAAATGGGTGAACAAAGTTTATCATAGGCCTGAAGCCAAAAAATTAACAATAGAATAGAAAGATCTCAAGGAAGGAAAGGGTGCATTGCTTATGGTTACTGAATCCATAAGCACCTGTTCCCACCTGAGATCAAAGTGATGTGTAACTCAAAATAACTGGGAGCAAGATCATTTAATTCTCCTGCTGAGCAATGGCTTATCAGACTATAGTGTTCAATCTCAGATATCTCAGCTCCAGCCTGAAGGAAGTGTCTTATTTTGTGCTTTTAGACCCATGTTGAACTTAATGTTAACCTATGTAATTTAATTAAAATACAATAACCACGTAGTAAGAGTCACTGATCTCTCCATAATGTTGCGGGGCTCTCTGACATTATCAATGACTAAATGCAAAAAATGCGTATCTCAGTTACAATGTTCCAAAATCTCAACCTGCATTTTATTTTACTCAAAGTAAACCTATCAAAAGGCATCTTTGCAATTATAAGAAGTTTTTAGAATGAGTGAAAAGAAATCGCTAAAAATTTAGTTAAAAACTGTAGGTTGGATTTCTTTTTAAAAAAATAGAACAGCAGTGGAGACATACACTGTTGCAATCTGAGAGGTGCATTTTTCAACTTCAACTTTCGTCATTTTATTTTGGGTATTTTTGGTCTATTTAGGTGCAATATTCAAGATTTTTTGAAAAGTAAACTTTGGTGAATGAGTTTGATTTTCTTTTAAAACAGAATTAAAAAAGTTAGTGCGTACTTTGTTTAGAACAATTTATTCACAAAACTTCATAAAGCAAGGAAAAGAACGATAAAATATAAAATCCTATCTATATAATGAAAGTAGAGCTCCTCTAGAATATAAAAAAAGTTGGGTCACAGACATGTTACATGGCATCAAATAATAAGAGCTGTAAACTGTTCACAACTTCTTCTCACTGAATACTGGAAAATGCCATCCTCCACCCAAACCTAAAATCAACTTCTTTATCATCATGGTCTCAAATCATCCTGCATTTTTACAGCTGCTAATATAAAAAACAACAACTCCGTCATAATGATAATGTTTCAGAGAAAACTCACGACATCAAAATCAGATTACTTGTTTAGTTGGTTTTAATTTGGTATCTTTTTTTTTCCTTCTTTTTTTGCTTTCCAAATACATATTTTGAAAGTTCCTTGAAATCTGATTACATTTGTGGGATTCATACTTTCTCAATTCCAAATCAAAACACACGGCAACCTGGTCTTTGAGAAAGATATTATCAATGAGAGGAATGTGAGAGGAAAAAAAACGGGCTTAGTCACAGGTAATTTGGTACCTAGCTATAGGCAATGTAAGTTTGAAATTTTTTTCTAATAAAATGAGAATGTGGACTGAAATAGAAAGACAGCTGGTGTCCAACTGAAGTGACCGTAATGTGAGTAAAATAAATTTTATCGAACATTTCAGATAATTATTCAATAGTGTGTCCTGATGAAATTAACGGTGCCACAAAGCACATGGCTAAATAATAAGAGTAATTTAATTTTAAAGGGAAAATTGATTTTTTGGTGTTGAAGGATACATTAATGTAAAATAAATTATGATTGTAAAATAGAGATAATTCATGCCAATAAGTTTTTTGGCATGATAAGTCAAGCAATCTGACTGTGTTACAGAAGATTAAAATTGAACTTATTGAGTGATCTTTACAGGAAATCCTCCTCTACTAAAGTTACCTATTGTTTGACACTACGCTTCTAACTGTAGCGTAAAAAGTAGCTTTCCCATGATTCACTAGTAGTTTTGAGATGAAATCTTTGATTTTTCTTCACTAGAATTGAACTAGATTTAAAAAAAAAAAAAAAAAAATTGGACTATTTTTCTTTATCAAAACATCAAAAAACTGAAAAATTTATGTGATTTTACATTCAGTAAATACTCAAACAACAGGTATACATGAGGATTAGATACTTTAAAAGATTTGAATGGATTCATTTAATATTAGCGGTAACGACGATCTTTATCGCGGCGGCTACGATCTCGGCTGCTTGATCGCCTAGATGAGCGCGATCGAGAGTGGCGGTCAGATCTGCTACGACTGCGAGAGCGTGATCTTTGAGACCTACAAGATGAACAGAGATCAGTGAATTTAGCTAATTTCCTTGCAAAATAAAAAAAATAACGATGTAAAGAGAACAAGAATATAGAGAGAATTATTTCAAAATATGAGATGAAGTTCCAGCAAAAATTATTTGGTAACTTTCTATCCTAACAGATATTTAGGACTTGCAAAATATTTTTTTTTCTTTTTCAAAATAATGCTCAATGAATATTCAAGCCAAAGAAAAAGAGAGAAAAAACTCAACTTGACCACGGAGTACTTGCACAGCAGGCGCAGTAAAGACTTGTTATAAATAACAGATGACTGCCCATCTGTTATTTATGACAATCTTTTTTCAAATACTACATAGGGATTTAAAAAATAATTTATACTGGGAATACAGAGGACTGTAGAAGTTTCTTCAAATGATTATGTATTAATCAAAACAAAAGTGAAAGCCAGTCACATTTGACTGCAGAAAATGGAATTTGCGTCAAATAGGTTTACATACTTTTAGACTGCAACATACGATTGTTTGACATCACTTTAGCATTGAGAGTAAGTGCAAGAATATAGATGGCGGATCTTCTATCAAAGTCTTAAAGTGCATAAAATTATTGTGTGGACTAAACTGAAACTATTCCTTGGTCCGCCCGAACTTCTACTGAATTTGACACAACGTTTCATCATGAATCCAAAAATTAAAATAAACCTACAACAAACTCACCTAGATTTGCTCCTTGATTTACTCCTGGAGCGTGATTTTTTGTCACGAGAGCTCCGGTCCTTAGAACTGCGATCCCGCGAAGAGCGATCCCGAGATGTTCGATCGCGTGATTTGCGATCTCTTGATCTCCGATCCCTGTCGTGCCTAGACCTGGATCTATCCCTTCGCCGATCTCTACTGCGGTCTCGGCTTCGATTTCGTTTCCTGTCATTGTCTCTTTCAATTCGATCCCTCCTTATTTTGTCGTCTCGGCGGTCATGATCACGATCACCACGGTCCCCGCGATAGCTCTCTCTTCGGGCTTTCCTTCTTTCTTCAATATTTTTCTGGAATTAAAACGAAGATATTGGAGCATTAATTTAAAAAAAATACAAAAACTCCCTTAAGTACCGAGTCCTACTTAAATAGTACTAATTTTTCAACACCGTCTGGCAGCAATGCAGTAGTAGTTCCAAGGTTGCCAAATTATGCGACATATGTCAATATTTTTCAAGAGTTTCAATGGAGGAAAGGCTGATTTTTTTTCAGCACAATCTGGTAAATGTGCGTGGCTCTTTTGAATCACTCAATTCTGGAGACTCCATCTTGAAATGCTGAAGGGACTTGCTTGAAATAGAGGAAGAAGAAAATTGATTGTTTTGGCAAAAATGATGGTTTCATAGATCGAAACAGGTCCATTACAAAAGTTGGTGTTGTACTTCATAAATTAAAATAAAATATCATACATCATAAAAACTGAACAAGCCTCCAATTTGCAGATTAATAAAGGGTTCAAAGGTTTATCCCTTTAATGGCTTTTAGTAAAATTGAATGTATGGCGTCTTTAGGGTATGGAAACCCTTGAGTATCTTGCGAACATTTATATAATTGAGACATGCAGTTTCGACATCAATTTCAGGAATGCAGAAAGTTCTTGGTCTTCTCATTTGAAGAAGCCCTTCATCCTTAAAAATGTATCTTTCTTACGGCTCTTAACGTACAAATTGCTGCAATTATGCAAAAAAAAAGAAAGAAAAAAAAAAGGGCATGTGATTTTTACTGCGGTAAGGCTTTAAAAGCGTAATTTTGTTGGCCTTTCCCTTTTCCAACCAATGGACCAATTATGACCCGCCAGGTCATAGCAGATCAAGAAGTGCTTGCACCCCTGACTTCTTTAACTGGATATTTTTAATGAATGAGTTTAAGCCTGGAGCTGCCGTCCCTTTTACAAGAGGAAGCAAAGGTTTCTAGGGAAGGAGGGATGACTTTCAAAAATGTATACTAATGTGATACGTTGTTGGTAAAGTCTTGCAGAGAGAAAAGGCGGGTAATAAAAACATTCTTGATAATCTTTCATAACTACAGCAGGAAGATAATAGAAAATAGTTGTCTCTGTCATTTGAGATCTCATCTGAAGTGTAGTGCTTGGTGATATTTCAAAATGAGCAAATAGATTTCAACATTACTTTTTTTTAAAAAAAAATGGCTCTTCACTAGATACTGGCAAAAACATGCATTTCTCTGCTAATAAAATTTGGAATACAGCATCCAGGACCGAGTTTGAGTTAATCTCAAAGAAAAAATTGTTCAAGCTTGTAATAATCCTTCCGCTGCCGCCCTTACTGAAAATAGCCGAAAAAATAAATAAACAAAACTTTTAAAGAAAGGACACCGGATTTTTCGCACAAGCCAATCAAGTCGGAGATGCAATTTTCTGTTGAAAAAGTAATTAAAAAACTCACCTGCAACTCAGCCAATTTATCACGGATGGTGATGAAGCCAAGATGTAATTTTCCTCCAAAATGATCCGCTAACCGCCTATCGTTATCATGAATACCTAAATACGCAGAGCAGACTTCGCAAACTCGTAGCTTTTGCTGTTGATAACTACTAGCTGGCATTGAGGTCCTGTAAACTTCTTCAGCCTCTGCTTTCTTCTTCCTAAGATCCTCGATCTACAAGAGGAAATGAAAAGTTACAAAATGTGCTACATTCAAAGAAAAAGCCTAGATATATGTGGTAAAACCTTGATCTGACAACTACTAATTGGCCGACGAAAATTGTTGCTGGGTTGCCGCAGAATTTGTAAGACAAATTTTTTGAACTTTTCCCTGATTTCTTAGACATATATAGGTAAAATTCCCTGACAATTGAAGGTATTCTACATGGTTAAAAAGATACGATTTGAAATAGCTTTCTTGAGAAATTTATTGTTCAAAGCTACAAACCCATTCTAGAGAGCAAATGAAGGTGATATAAAAAATTTTTTGTAACACTTTCATCATTTTTGATGACATTCCCAAGTGTTTCCTGACTTTTAAAAATTCCCTGACATTTCATCGTAATCCCAGGTTATGGCAACCCTGTTGTTATTTCAAGCTCGCAATTGCAACGAAACATGCTTAGAAAAGTAATTAATGGGGATTTAAGTTCATTCTCGAAAAGAATTACACACAGACCAAGAAATTCGGCGTAAGGTACTTTTTGGTATGATATTCTTTATGACCTCCTGAGCACCATGAACATTTAGAATCGAATATTTTAGGTATGTGCCAAACTCAAGAAAAGCAGGGCTGAAAAGCGACTTTTTTGGCTCTCTAACTTATGTTTTCTAGTGGTGATGTGACACTACTGCTAACTAAAACTAGAAATTTGCAAGGTAGAGAGAAAAGTATTCATTAAAAAACTCTTACCTCTCCCAATATTTTTAGACTTTCTTCTACATGCCCTTCTTGTCCCAGCTGCTCTGCCTGTGCCAGTTTCTTTCCAATTTGCTCCGCAAGGTCATGAACAATATTCGCTTTTTCCGCAACTTCAGCAGAAAGTTCGTCTTGAGTTTCTGCTAACCTTTGCTTTGCTGTTTCTGTTCGCTGATCACAATCCGCAATGAAGGCTTGAAGATGTTCAGTTGCCTGTCACAAAAAATACATTTGTAAAAAGGGAAAATGACAAGGTGCTTTTCCAACAGCTCCTAGGCTGATTTTTCCAGCATGTAAGTGATTCTAAAGGCTACAATAGCTTGTGAGATATATGTCCAAGTTCTTAAAAGATCTGCTCTTTCATTTTGAATAATCAGAATCATGAACACATGCTATTCGAGTTCTTATAGTTTACAATGAAATAGAAAGAGATTATGTTCAAGTTAATTTTCTGCTCTAAGTTCAATCAATTGGTCTGTAAGTAAAAATACTAAAGTATTTTGTACACATTTAATCAATTATTTTGAAAGGCAACACCTGTGCTTTGACGTTTGCTAGATCATAAAATGTGTAAGATCATATAAATTTTAAAATTGGACAAATTTTCGAGAGTTTCAAAAATTATCGTCTGTTCTTTGTTGGTAAGGTCACGAAGACACAAGTTTTAAAGATTAACACTCCTTGGAAAGGATTCAAAAAATCTTTTGGAGGTTGGAACTCACGCCATATCATTCTTATTTTCTGAAAATCTTTAAATTTGACCAAACATTTCGCAGCTTTTTGAAAAAAAGTATTTATGGATTGAGCTGAAAAAGAGAATACTTACAGAGAAACAATACTTATAAGTTTTGATTACCAAATTTCAGATCAATATTTGAATTTACTCTAACACGCTAGACAAAACAAAAAGTTAACTCATTTAATTTCTGTTATGAATAAAAACTAATTGATACAACAATAATATTTCTGATAATCTTTACATGATTCTGGCTCAACGTTTAGCTGGATTTTCTGATCAAAGCATTTTGTTTGAACTTCACCACCAACACACGTTTTCGTCAAGTATCAGAGAACTTCAACATATAAAATTTTCGAGGCAGGAAATGCATTTATTACTGTACTTGGGATACGTAAACAAACCAACATTTTTATACGGAGGAAATTTGACCTACATATTGTAGCAAAATGCAAGTGTAGTTAGAGTGCATGAAGTAGCAGCACTACTGCTTCTACTAATTCTTTTAAATATTCATTGAGGTGTAGAGCTGAGACTGTCTAATCACCACAAAATTGACTCAGCGAGCTTGTAAATATCTCACTTTAGAGTGCAATTGCAAGAAAGGCCCACCTGACTAGTGTGGAGGCAGAAAAAATTATCATGAAATGTAAGAGGATACTAGGCATATTATACTTACATCAATATCATAAAAATAGTCTTTTGTCAGACTTGCTTTCTCGAAATCTGCCCTCAGCGCCAAGTCGTGGATTTTCGGGCACTCCCCTAAATCCATTCTCTAGAAAAATTTAACACGTGTCAGACAGTCATTTTTAAATACACGAGAGGGAGCATTGAATGATAAGATCAAAGAGAGAGAAAAATAAAATAATAAAAAACCATACAAAACGAAAGTAGGGCTGAAACTTGAAAGCAAGAGAACCAATTTTGTTTTCCATTTCGGGTACTATTGTGTAAAATAAACGACAGTCATACAAAGATAAAATTAAAAAAGAGGGGGGAAAGGAACTTAATTTTACTCAGCATTATTTTTTGCTGACAGTTAAGTAGACGATCTATTGGCTCTAGGACCTCCAAGTAAGACCAAAACTTTTAGCAATATTAACTCAGGACACAATTCATTAAAAACATAGAAAAAACTTATTATAATTCCCTACAAAGTAAAGAATATTAGGATTTCACTTGACAGTCGCACTTAAATAGGTCACAATTAACGATATTCAACTCACCATTTTCTTGCACCACAATTTCTTGCGCTAAACCAAATTTAATAGCAATTTCTTCCTAGAGACCAAATTGCCTTGGTGAAAAAAATATTATTTACAGTAGAACAGAGCGGGGATTGGAATATTGTTTTAGACTTTTCAACTTGAGGTGGAAAAATTTCAAACACAGAGCACCCAATGTTACTTGGACAACAGCCTTTTGCTGATTTCCAAGTTTTGGTAAATCACAGAAAGCAAAAACTTCAATTAAGTTTTGGATGGATTACCGGAAGCATTCATAATAGCCTATTCACTTATGTGGCTGATTCAGCTCTAACATATAACACCTTCTTGGCTTCTTGGTCAAAACTATCTTTTGAGAAATCATCTGCACCACAAAATTATTGCCAGCGATCATTATCATCGTCATGTCCGGCCGTCGCCTTTGCTATGCTACTCTTTTTGATATGTTGAAAATGATCCTAATGGTTGAACTAACTCAAGGGTAAAATTAATGTCAGTGAAAAAAACGATAAAATTGACAGCCTCACAGCTCAATTACTAACTGTCTTTTATCAATACTCGTATTACACGGACTGAACTTTTAACAATTGAACGGTAACTGCACGGTACGGACAAAATATTTCTCTTTCAAATTTCTTGACAAAGAGCGAAGATTATCTACAAAATGGGGGCAAAACACATTGGGAAATTATCAAATTTACCCTTTTTGATTACCCAAACATTCTCAAGGTGATAACCTATGTCTTCCATTCATCTATTTCCTTAATAATTTCTGGATCAATAATGCGTACCTAGTTGTCAGTTCCCATTTTACACTTTTTAGTAAAAGTTTCATTGAAAGTACACAAGGGAAAAACTATAGAATCAACATTAAAACATAGATATGGAGGAAAAGGGGAAGTTCCTGAAATAGAAAATTCATTAGATAGATCACACTGATTAAAACAAAACAAAATTACTTCGTTTTAAAATTTTGGTTGGTGTGCTCAATTCTTCTTTCAAACCTGAGCATGTAGATATACCTACAAGGAACTATACAAAGAAAGACTATTAGAGAGAAAGAAACTGCTTCTTTCTGTACCATCTCCCAACTAAGTGACAGCAGGTATATCAATATTCATAAGAAACTCATTAAATAAAAACTAAGTGGGTTTCCGTTCTTAGATGGAGGAAACAAGGGTGCAGAATGTTCTTCAAGATAAGAAATGAGGGATAATCTCAGCTCCATTATTGACACTTGATTGGAAAAATTTTAAACTCCTCCCAAAATTAGAAATCTTGTAACGAATCGGGAGAGCTAAGAATTAAGCATGCAATTCAACAGAACAAACAGATTTCTCCACAGGAAGGTATCTGCTTTTGCAACAGCAGAATTTTTTTCACCCTCGCTGTCGGAAATTTGGGGGGATTTTTCTCCTTTTTTTTTTCTTTTCAAATATTTTTGCGCTAAAATGAGAAGAGATATTTCCTTTCACTAAAAGAAGTAATTTTTGAAAACAGTGGGCTGAGAACCAATTTATTGGATATTTGTATTCTTGGATAAATATATTATATGTAGTGGTCATACCTAAATGGTTTCCTTGTTAGTACAACTATCAATGGGTCACTTCATTTAAAAAAAAAAAAAAAACCCCAGATCAAAAGAAAACTATGATCCAATCACCACTTCCAGGCTGAAATATTTTAGTAGAGAGTGCATGATTTTAGGCACTCATGACCCTCTGGTTTATTCCTACAATAAACTTTTCAATGAAGGATTCATGAGCAGCAGAGAGAGACGTCTACTCTTAAATATTATCCAACGCATAAATGATGGATGATAAATGATTTGATTCATATCTGTTCTAGTATCGAGGAAATTTATTCTCAAAAGAGAAAACTGAGAGCGTGAGAGTGTTCTGCAAGTGTTTGAATATTTTCGAGAAAATTCAAGACTACGCTGAAAGATGACATTTGAATGAGATCTGAAGACATTTATCGATTTGATTTAAACTAAAAGAGATGCATAAAATCAAGTAAAAAAATAATAATTCTGCACCATTCAAGATTGCAGGATAATACAACAAACTCTGAGGTTTGATACAATCGGAGACATGACAAAGTCATGAAAATTGCAGCTATAACTGAGAGACTTAGAGCATTGATAAAAACAAAAAGCGTATTACAATTTATGAACAATTTGCAAAGATAAGTATAGAATGTTATAGAAAAGTGTTGCGATGGAGTATTTATGACTTACAGCCACTGGGGATAACTCAGACGAAAGCGTCAATCACCTGTCACGCAGTAGCGCCAAGCACACGCCTTTTGTACATAAGATCCCTGGATAAACGGTAAGAGAACCAAACAATAATATAATCGGTCTACTTTTTCTGATATAGTTCAAAATATGAATGAAAAAAAACAATAACCGATCTAAAGTATTAAGTATTAATAGAAACAAGAGTCATACGTACGGGAGCCTTTCCTCTTTCACAAATCCATTCTCTTCTGTTAGCGTCTGATTGATACAGAGTCGGAGATGCTTGAGTTTTCCGTTTGAGTTATAAAAAAAGAATAAAGAAATTGAGGTACTCACAAGTGACTGAAGATCTATCATTACGCTTTGGATAACAACGATGAACCGCCTGAGTCTGTCGAAGAAAACTGATAGAAACTAATGACTTGCCCGAAAAGATTCAACTGATTCCAATTACTGGTATCAATATTACATACAAGACCGAGGTACAGGGGGGAAAGTTAAACTCGATCTACCGATTAAAGTAAGAACATAGAGCCAGCCTGACAAATCCCAGACAAGGACAAAAACTATTGAAAATGGTTCAATCCAAAGTAAGAATCAAGCTTTCCTTCATTTTAGCTTTCAGTACAACCTAAGTAGTGGATGCATGTGTGCACAATGATTACATTAACATTCTCAATCAATTCTTTGAGATGAGGCAAAACGATTGCTTAGTAATTTCTTCATTCATGTATACCCAACTATGGGAATTCTAGAAAACTCATTCATTTTCTCAAAAACTCAACGAGTTATTGACAATTTTAAACTCCTAATGCATTATTCTTAAACGAGGTTTTTGTGTGTGGGCTGTTTTTGCAGTCATCTCTTCAAGTATAATATCAAAAATTAGATACCAGAAAAAAGAAAAAAAACTTGTAAAAATAAAACAGAACTTCTGAAAGATACTTGAAAAGTTAAGTTAAGAACTTACACATTATGAATGATGAATAATAATTACCTATTAAATTTTCAAAATTTTAAAAAAGAGGATTTATTATACCTCTTTAAATAAGGATAAAATTAAAAAACGTCGAAAACCTCACACTCGCAGCAAATTAAGTACCTAAAAGGTTCTAATTTTTAGTTCATCTTATGTCCTGCTCATCTTACTGATATATTCTTTTCAGTTTTGCCAGTGGCTTTTATCAGTGAGCGAAGTAAATAAATAAATCATACAGACAGATATGGTACCCTCCAAAATACATAAGACTACTGAAGCATGACTGTCAGTTAAAGAACTAGCTTTCCTTTAATACAATAGAAAATGGAGGGAACCTTCATCAAATTTTGTGTGGTGAAAAACTTATTTTGCTATGGGTCCTAACTTCCTGAAATGCATCTAAGGGTTTCCCTTCACAAATATAAACGAAGAGAGAGCTGAAACGCACTACAAATCAGGATAATTAAGTACACACTAAAGATAGAAAGATTGAAACCAATAGCTTTCCAATCGCTTACATTGCTTTATTCCCCTATTCTTTGATAGAAAACAAAGCTACTCAACTTAAACCAAAACCGATGTTTTAAAAAAACGCTGTTTCACAATTCAACATCTGTCACCAAAAAATCAGTGAAGGCAGCTAAAACTAGACTATTCCGAACATCAATTTCAAACCACGAACATTTCATTACACTGTAGGTAAAACAGTTGAGGCAAAATAGACTTTATTTTTCCACCTGAGAACAAAGGCTTCATATAAGCTCTTGAACATTAAACAATGATGACATGATATTTCTGCAAAGACCCTAGGACATCATTCAACTAACAAGGCCTCCCAATATTCAATGCACCAACGCTGAACCTTTAAAAATCTGAATGTAGCTTGTATCAGACAATTGCTGAAGAGAAAAAAGCCAGACAATACTCACAGAGAAACGATGATCACTTCACAACATGCATTGTAACATGATGTTTGACCTTTAGAGGGTAGGTAAACTGAAATATTGGAAAAAAAATTTACATACGTGACGGTGACTGGGCTCAGCTGCCGTGTGATGGAGAAAGATGAGGCATGCAAAACTACTTACACAACGGAAACCATAATGGTGACCAATAATGGTAACTTCACACCAGGTAAATTACCATCAGAAGAAACATTTCAAAAAATTGTAGGAAAATGAAAACCTTTCAGGTAGGTACTTAAATCTACAATGTGTAAAATTAGGAACATATTTTAAGAGGATATCTGAAAAAATGATCATGACTTGTTAAATTAAGGTTAATGCTTGGAGGATGAAAAAGAGAAAGAAATTTCATGGGTCACATAGAGGTGTGTAAAGAAGAGTTACCTAGATTGTCCCTGCTATTCGGCAGACAGAATTTTGCTGTCATCTTTCCTTAAGGTGATTCGTCAAGCTCAAGTGACGTGGTCGAACTGGCATGCGATATATCGCATCTTTTAGGTCAAAAATCTCGGCAGATTTTGAATTTTCAGCAAACAACAGGACGATAGCCCCTGCGCATGAGCCTGAAGAATCATTCTAAACCCAAAAATCGGCAAAATTCAGAGAAATGAAAGCAGGATAGTGTTTGGAAAAAAACCTCGCATTCGATACCGAAATCGATAGCTGAATCGAATGCGATGTTTTTTTCCAAACACTATCCTGCTTTCATTTCTCTGAATTTTGCCGATTTTTGGGTTTAGAATGATTCTTCAGGCTCATGCGCAGGGGCTATCGTCCTTTTGTTTGCTGAAAATTCAAAATCTGCCGAGATTTTTGACCTAAAAGATGCGATATATCGCATGCCAGTTCAACCACTTCTTTTGAGCTTGACGAATCACCTTAAAAACCTTCAAGTTAGGCTCAAAAATAAATTTGAGGGAAAATGTCACAGTGAGGTGACTTCGACGATCACGATTCTGTTATTTTTAAAGGGTTGTTATGCATTAATACGCTATGAAAGAAGTATGGAGGGATGTTGAAAATTGTGAAAATGTAATAATTTTCTAAAGTTCCTTTTGTCTCATTGAATAAGTTTGATCTGAACTTCCTTTCCTTTTGGGCTGATTCAGCTAGGTTGGGATGACAACAAAATTGAAAAAAAAAAAAACATTCAATGAAGAAGGAAGTAACTGACGAACAAAAAAAAACTGTAAGTTTTGTTGGAAATCAGTCACCAAAAAAAACTATTGAAGGGGTCAACATGGAGGGAACACTTGCTGAATATCAAGGGATGGAAATGATGGATAACTCAAAATTTCTCCCAAAAAAAGCTGTCGCTACTTACTTGCTAACAATAATTATACTCAAAATTGTCTTCAAGTACCTACATGATTCATTATCTTTAAACAGTAAACTTTCTGTTTTCACACAATATAACTCCCAGTTTATTTAAGCCTGATAGTCAATTTTTCGCGCTCAAGTAGCAAAAATACCATGCCCCAAGTGCCAACCAATAATTTTGGAAGTAAAATTGGTGCTAATTTTGTTGATAGCTTTATTTGAAACATTAAGAGAAGTACTTTGGTCATGATCTAAAGTAATAGGGGTGAGATTAAATGCAATTCACTTGCACTACTGACCATTTTTAATCTTCTGATGTTGTTACAGAAACCACTCCAACAAACCTCATTCAAGAAATTGTGATTGCAAAAGTTTCATTGGTTGCCTTGAGCACTAGTATCCTCATCAAGAGAAAATAAATCAAATTTGGAAAATAAGGTTTTAGAGAAACACCCAACTTCCAAAATTGTCAGTTGGCAAAAATAAAACTAAGTACAAATGATGATAGTGAAATAAATTTTAGAATGAATGAGAGATTTACTTTGGTCCTTCACCAACAATCTCATCTCATTACTGAAAAAAACTCAGTTTTAAGAAATCACTGGAGGGTTAGGTTGGATTGTGCTTAAATCATTTTATTCCTCCTAGACAAAATATTTTTAATCAATTCTACACTTTAACTCGACAACAACCGGAAAAACACAAACTTAAACCATTCACTGAGGAATGGCAATCGAACCTGATTGGATTATGGTTAAGATTTTTGATGATGACATATCATCCTTACATTCAAAGTAAACAATAGCCTCAGGAGCCTTGAATACTCGATATGGGGTCAAAATAAAAAATGGAGCCAACAATTTTAGTTTGAACAGCCGATTTGATCCAAAACAAAAAGGTATTCTGGGAAACTCAAAGTCAATCCCGACAAATAGTAAGAGAACAAAATTGATTTGATTTAATCAAATTACTGAATTTATTTTTTTGGCAAAAATCAGTCTATGGAGCTCCATTACTACTTCGGTACCCTTGACAATATCATTCCCCCATGCCTGAATCTAATCCTAGCAGTACGCTGGGAAAGTGCTACATCGGTGAGTTTCATTAATTCTTCCTTAAAATAGGTACAAGATTACTTTGCGAAACTTCTCACAGAAGTGACATGACAGGGGCATGGGAGCTACCTACATTTAGGTAGGCATTTCAGTACACATTCAAAACTCAGCTGAATTGAAGCAGGTAGGAATTTTCTTGACCTGAACCATAATTTTCATGATGGGGTGAAATTACTATTCTGCGGTTTTTTAATGGTGCAGTATCCATAGCGTTAACAAATTAGAAATGCCCTATCTTTAATTCTTTCAACTGCGTATTGAATGCATAGTCACCATCCTTGTGTGAAAGTATCAGCTTATCAGTTGATTTCCGTACTTCTGTATTGTCATCTGAGGATTTATCAGTTCCTTTGACTAGGGTGGCTAGTTAAAATAAATGTAAGCGATATAAAATGGAAATTACTTACTGTGGATTGTAAAATCTCGTGAGGGCAGCATGCCAAGAGGAAACTTTTGCAAACTTTCGGGTCGGTAAAGTTGACACGATACTTGTTATTTTCACCTGCAAGTGGAAAAAATTTGTGATAAGTTGAAATAAGATGCTTCGTCATTGGTGAAAGGATGCAGCTGCAGTGAAGGGTTTGGTTGTCAAAAATACAGTAGTCCAGTAATGGAATCACAGGACAAACACATAGAAATCTACGGGAAAACCCCTGCTTGCATGTCAATGCTATCAGAATCGAAGATTCTCATCAGGCTTTCGGAGGACATAGAGAAGCACTGATATACTTAATGCTTGTGAAACCTTTAAAGTCGATGACACAAAAAGTTGTGGCTGAGGGACGGAGGCAGGTGAGCGGCTCCATCTATTGTCAAAGAGTTCGACAAGGCTAACTCCTCGAAATTTACCAATATACCAGCGTTTCAACCCTTAAAAGATAGATCAAGTCGCTCACTTGACTCTGCCTGTCAGCCGCCACTTTCTGCATTACAGACTACGGACAGGGAGAAGGAGTGAATGAGATATACAGCGATTTTTGAAGGAAGGTCACAGCTCACTGCTCTAATAGCGCTACCTTGGTGACTTCATACGAATATCTTGGTATCACCATCCAACAGAGTTATTCTTTTCAATCAAAGGAAAGCAAACTCATAGACTGAAATTTAATATGATCCAGATTGAGCATGGCGATGATTATTTATGCAAGAGAGATTTAGGCTTAATTACGGCTAAATGGGGTGGTAGTTAGGGCACCCTCAGATGTGCAGTAATTTATTTCATTGTGCTCCATTTACGCTCTGCCAAAATTGACACAGTTTCATTGAGGAACTGGAACAGAAATTCCGGGATAAAACATTCTGGTAATTGAGGCAGAAAGTGAAACGTTGGCCATTGGAGAGAAAGTAGTCAAATGTATCAATGGGTAGGTCAGAATTCGGTACATAAAGTGAACATACCATCGCGTCCAGTGCCCATGAGCTGATCGAGCATAGCTCGCATTTGGTCATGGGCTGTCATTTTAATTGAGAGACTCTTTTCAGCACTAAAATTAATCACTAGAACCTGAAAACTTTGAAACGTGTCCTGAATTTGATTCACAACTCACGAATTCACCAAACAAACATGGCGGAAAACGGAAGACGAAAAAGCAAAAAGCCAAAGGAGAACTGCAGTGGCGCTTCCAAACGACAAAAAGCTGTATCAAAATTTCCCGGTGGTCGGTCTATGTCTATTGTCTATCGCCTAGTCTGTCGCTTAGTCTATCTATCGTACTTTTCTTTACCATTACCTTCCATAATGTAATGTATTCCTATTCTGTGTACCGAGTTCCTCCACGCTCAGAACTTTTATTTTTAGACTCGGCCATCAACTGAAGTTGTCGTTCAATCATTTATTTTGTCACCAACTCTTCAAAAAATCTGCCACTGGTACTTTCAATCCAACCGCTCAGATAGTGAAGGTGTTATTTTTGTTGCAACACAGGTTTTGGAATGGACATTGCAACCTCTATGGGTAAGCAGATATTGTTTGTGCATGGTGCCTGCATCCTGAATGGCGATTTACAGACAGGAAACACGGTCAGGGACCCCAGATTTCTATTTGCTTCAGTAGAAATTGCATTGATGGAAATGATATCTTCTCCCGGATACCAATTTTCTCCAATGCAAAAAGATAAGTAACCGAATACGTCCGCACTCAGTTGAGCGACTGCTCTACTTTTGTCTTCGGAGTTTGACTGTCTCCCAATCATTTCATGTGGTCAATGAAGGTATTGAAATGATTCTCTTCCTATTAGGCAGGGATGATTTTGTTTTAATTTTTTGTAACGCCATAAACCAAGAAGTTAATCTTCAGTATAATAGAGGATAGAGCCATTTCAGGAGTTTTCCTGATGGTATAATTTCAGAATTTGCCTCTACTTTGTTTTCTCTATTAGGTTTCACTGCGAAGAAGCTATTTAGTTATACTAACCCAGCATAATTTCTACCGATCATATCAAATTCAAAGCAGGTTTTTAGGCTAAAATCTGAATTGACATCAAAGGGTTATTACCATTTCTCTGGGCCAGAAGCCACCTCATGGAACTAATTTGCTAATCTAAATATAAGGGTTTTTACCTCACGGTCCATACTGAGTTCAGAGAATTATCTTCATTCATCGTCGTTGAAGGCTGCCATGCAGGACTGAATTGCATGACACAATGACTTTCAGAATTTTTATTTGCAGAATACTTCATTCGTTTTCGACAGAATAAAAGTCATTGTTTCACACAGTTTGTGGCGTAAATTTTCCTTTACTCTACATATGCTTGTACCTTGCCGTGTTTTGGGGTTAAAATGCATATGAGTTGGGTAAATACTGAAATTTAGCCTCTTCTAAAATCTGAAATCAACAGTACTTCAGTAATTAGCCCCTGTTTTTCGCAATGTGAATACCAAGGTTCTGAAATCTCTTTCATTAATGGCTTTACACCCTCCTCTGAAAGTGTTGAAGTTGTGGGTTTTTTTCAACCCCTGACGAATTCCTTGTTTGCACCCCTGACAATACCGTTGGCACCATGTTTTGGACACTTATTTTCCCATTCATTGTTCCGCGGTAGACTTCTGCTTTGTAGACATAAAAAAAAGCCCCTAAGTCAAGCCCGTTAGTAGGTAAAGCATCAGAATTTTTTTTTTTCTGTACTCAGTATACACCAATGAGGCTTTGAACTTGTTCATTTTTACTCTTACTCATCCATTTCAGATTGCATTTTCTGTATTTTCCTCAAAAGCTCCATTTTGCAATTTACTTTAATTCTTTTTTTTTTCCCCGTGTTTACATTTTTAGGTTTTACTAATTTAAATATTTATGGAACTGATGTGAATGTACCTAACTCTAGCCGTGCCCAAAGTTCAAACATGAATTTGATGACTCCATATCTACCTCAACAAAATCAGATAGTCGATCAGCCTAATGGTGAGATTTTTCTTTGATTCTTTTCAATTCACAGAGAAATGTCTTACTACTAGTGATTTTTTTTTACTTTTGTCTACTGGACCCTTCTGCACATCCGGCTCTGAATGATTGAAGGTTCACCTTGCTTATTCGGTCATTTTCTCTCTTTTCAAGCAACTCATCAAGGCAAAACATTGGTTGCTATTTGCTATTCTGTTTTAATCTGATTGCTTTTTAATGGGAAAAGAATCAAAATATTTGCATTGTTTTTTTTTTTCTTGTCTCCATGATAAAAATTTTTTTTTTAATTTTCCACAAAATTAATGACCATGTACCTACCAAGAAAAGACAAATTTTTTAAAGAAATGTTACAAAATCAAGGCTTGCACAAAAGAAATGAAATAATATGTTACAGTGAAGTACTACGTGTAAATAAAACTTACGAACAGTACGAACAGCAATTTATAAATAGATAATGCCAAAAAAAATAAAAAATATTATGATCATCGTTAAAATGTGATTAAAAATCTTTTCATTTTTGTAAAAATCAAAGATGTAAACATGAGAATTTGAAATAATGCAATGATTGTAAAACCAAGTCCATTTCACGAAACCTGAGCCGGTAAAATTGGTGTGAAAGATTCCATAAATAACAGTGCATCAGTCCTTGCCACGATGACCTGACCACTCACTTTTAGGAAGTTTTCGTGCAGATAGACTTGGTTTGTATGATGCAGCTCCAAGCAAGAATTGCTTTCTGAAGAAGAAATTTTTCTTCTAGAGAGGGAAAAGCCCCCAACTGGCTCTGACTTTCAATGGAGTCTTTAGTGGTTTTTGTACATGCTTTCTATTTAGACCAATTTTGAGTGCATCTCTATCTAACATGTGTTACCTCCTGTAGCTCGTAAGTATCCTCTGAAAATCCTTAACATATATAGATTAATTTTGTCTAAATGTCCCCAAATTAGAAAAAAGTTATGTTGCAATTCAGCATTGGTAAAAGGTAATAAAGAGGTTGAAAAAATGATGTTGCCTTTATTCTCTATGAATAAGCCTCACACAATTTCACTTCCCAAGTTTTGACCTTTCTCTAAATTTTTTTTAAACAGTGAACACCCCAGATTTCCACCCTCATGCTCAACTCGCTCAGCACCATGTATCGCAGAGTAGCGATCACTCTCAGCACTCCGAGGATGTTGCGAATAGATTTGGTCACCCCAACATGAATCTCATCACTCCCTGTGCTATTCCGCCGCAGCATCCAACCACAGAAGGCAAGTACAATCTTCATGTGCTTTACCTACTTTTTCCAAGAGCGAAAACAATGAATGAAACTCGAGAGGATTTGTAGAGACAAAGAGCCTGAAAGGGATTTTACCCAAAACTGTTCTAAAATTTCCAGAGAATAACAAGGCATTTTTTCTCTTGTTCAGTTTTTCTCAATCTCTCAAGTTTTACCAACAAATGCCTTGGACCTGTACCTGCATGACATTCACATTCTGAAATTTCTTATGCCTTTCCGCATTCAGTTCCTTGGCACGCATCAGCATTAGGAAAATTTTACCACACCAAGGAAAAACGCTGAAATAGCTTTCAGACGCTGCTGAATGAATCAATTGAAATAAAATGAAATTGAACATCATTCTAAATAAGACTCGAGTGCCAAAAATGAAAATACGAAAAAAAACTAAAGAAGACCATTAAAATCCACTCGCTCCAAATCTTACAGCTCCAAAATATTAGAGGATTTGTCACATTATTACTTAATCAAGGATTTTAAAACTGATCGATCAATACGGTTTTTACTGTTTTTCTTGTGTTTTCATTTCTGGGGCCTAAGTCCTCTTGAGAATGACGGATTTAATTTTGCCAGTCACAGGATCGTGTTTTAATGATTTTCAATCATAGATCAGAAAAAAATGTAAGTTTACAAGAAAATGTTTTAAATTTCTTATCCTCATCATTAAGCTTATTTTCAACTTAAGATAAAGTATGATTCAGCAAGAAGTAGATATTTTCTGGAAATCTTTGCATTCAACTTACACCAAAACCACCCCATTAATTAGTATCTTTCTCTGCCCCCCTCCCCCCCCCCCACTTCTCATTTTTGTTACAAAATTTTAAAAGATGACCTTTCATATGATTTTCAGGCATACGCACTCCAGCTGACGCTTGTTCAGATATCGTTGATAACCTTTGGTGCCACCGAAAATGTGCCGAAACAGACTATTTTGCCAAGAAAGCAATTGAGAGTTTAGTCAAGAAACTGAAGGTAAGCTATCGAGATGTCTCTATCAAATAGGGGCATGCTAGAAGGTGAAGATATTGTAATATTCCGTTCAGGTACCATTGTTGCTTAACCATATCATTTTGATTTTCTACTTGCTTTGCTCTTGACAAATCCAAAATTCATTTGTTTATATTCCTAAATTTCTTGTGTTACTTCCTTTATTTATTTTATCTAATCTAATTGATCTAAAGATCCCTTCAAAGTAAGGGTAGGATACGCGTCGTGATTTTTTATCTTACAGTCACAGGACAACAATGAGTAATGTAAAAATATAATAAGGTGGTATCAGGCCCGCCACAAGGGGGGGGATACTGGGTCCTTGGTACCGGGGCCCGGGCCCTGGAGGGGCCCGTGACGCAGGTGACAACCCACTACGAATTCATGTCCCCATGAGCCTGTCATTCATGAGCCTTGTCTCGTAAGGAAAAGTGAAAAGATTACCCTAAAAATTCCGCAAAAGGTGAATAAAGTTTCAAAAACACGCCAGGGCACTATAAAATTTCTCTTACTCTCTTAGAGATTTCTATCTGTTTTCAAGATTTTTAGTACAGATAGATATTTTTAGAAATTGCGTTTCATTTTATTCCGTTGTACGTCGGATGCTGAGAGTCTTCAGTGTGGGTACCCTCGACTTCAATGGCTCAACTTTCATGCCAAAGACATACGGAAGAGGAGTCCAGGGGAGCTTGGAACCCCTAGAATTAAGAATAGTGTCATCTGCCCCCCCCCCCCAAAAAAAATTTCCAGATGTTTTGAAGGCAACAATTCGAAAGTATTTGGTGCTGAAAGTAAAAAAAATGCGTAATTATTCTGCAGAAATTGATGGAAAAACTCCATCATAAGAGCTTCAAAATGCGTCAAAATAGATTTAAAATTTCAAAAATTTCCCGGGGGGCCCGGGCCTAAAAACTGGTACCGGGACCCGAGATGGGATGTGGCGGGCCTGGGTGGTATTATGGTTAACATTACAGGAATATTAATAAGACGTGTTATTAAGGTTGGTGCTACCTCGATCCTTACCCTTATCCTTCTTTTATTCCAAACCTTTCTTATGGGTAACTGCCCCCACAGGATCTTTACTTTCAATGGTACCTGCCATATTACAAGAAAAATTGTACTATCAAAGGTTCATTCTGTTTGAGGAAGTCCTTAATTATCTTCAATTTTTGTTTAAAGTCTTTGAAACTGCTTGATCGTGGTTTATTTTCCAAGCACTCAGGGTTTCTTCATCATTAGTTGCGCTGAAAAATTTGCAGTGAAATGTGGTGTCCACATTTTCTCTGCCTGTCAGTGAGTGACTTCGTAAGTCTGCTGTGAGTGCATTCTTTCAAGTCTTCCAGATAATCAGAGGAAAATTTTGTATTTAGTAGTGTTCAAATTTTGTTTTGTCTTGGCTATACAAACTGTATTAACAATTTTGAAAATGTGTATGTCCTTCAGGAAAAAAGGGAAGAGCTTGAAGATCTAGTAACTGCAGTTACTACTTGTGGAACTCAATTGACAAAATGCGTCACAATACCAAGAACGCTGGATGGAAGGTTACAGGTTAGAATCTTAATTATCCTGATTTTCAGTGTCATATTCTGAGTTAGTTTTTGTATGTATCTATCATCAAATCATGATGCTGTTGATTGCCAAAATTGCCTCTTTCAAGTTTTCTATTTTGAGTTTTTTCCAGTCGTGTATATCGAATGCCAAAAAACAATACTGCCTAACTAACAATTTTAGCAAATGTGAATTACCAACTTTGCCGCATTTTTCGATATCCTTTTTCATTTCTGTAAGAGAGCGTTGCAATGATTCTGAAATGTATGAAAACATTGCAAATGTAACCTAAAAATTACAAAAATGGCGAAGTTTTCTCTTCGTTCTGCAAAATTGTCTGCTTGCAGAGAGGCAGTATTGTTAGTCATTGATATGCCGGTTTCTTGAATGTGAGGAAATGAGGAAAGACTGAATTGTTCAAGGATTTTTTTAATTCAAATAATTTTTATTCAATTATTTCGATATTTCCTTTAATTATTATGTTTTGAAATGCAAAAGTTAATAGAATAAAATCAAGCTTGTAAAAAGATGCAGAATTGAAGAGATCGGTGTGCTTGCTTGGCTCATGATTTTATAAAATCAACCCCCTATAGGTGCCAAGACTCGGCAGCTTAAAATAAGTTTCAGCTTTTTAAATTATTTTTATTGCTAAAATGTTCATATTTTCTCCTGTTAAAAGAGGTTAGTTTGACAGCGGCCATTATTCTAACTTATAGTCTCTTTGAAATAAAGTCAAATAAAGTCTCCTCTTTGTTTCCATTCGCAGGTTGCAGGAAGGAAAGGCTTACCGCACGTAGTTTATGCAAGAATCTGGAGGTGGCCGGATCTGCAAAAAAATGAGCCCAAGCATCTTAAAATTTGTCAGTACGCTTTTGAATTGAAGTGTGATCTCGTTTGTGTCAACCCATATCATTATGAAAGAGTTGTTGCACCAAGCGTAGGTAAGCTCCAATCTTCTTTACTGGTCACAGAACAAATTTCAGGCTGTCTGCAAGGGTGGGAAAGAATTTCAACCTCTTCTCTGTTTGCAGCTTTTTTTTTTTCATTTTTTTGTTTAACTCCATTTTTGTCCAGGCACATCACAAGTGTCATTTGGTTAAAAACCTGGAAATTCCCATGGAAATATTTTGTTGTTGTCTTTGAAATACTTGGGTGTCATTTCAAGTGAACCCTAACAACTTATCAAAAACATTTTATGTGTCACCTGTGGACTCAGCATTAACCCATGCGCTGCATATGAAGAGTTTAGGAGTATACTTGTCAGCGCGCGCCTAGGACATATCTCAGCTGATGTGTTAACTCGCGCCATCTGTTGGCGTTGCTACGTTTGAGATGCCATCCATCAGAAAAACAAAAAAAACAGGACCAAAACAATCGCGTTGTAACGCCGACAGATGGCGTGAATTCATTTGTCAACTGAGCTATTTCCCAGGGGCGTGCTGACAAGTATACTCGTCCAATAAGAGGAATGGTTTAAATCTGAGGCGAAACACTAAAAAAACACAAACTTATGCTAATATCGGTCTTCTCTCCCAAGTCCTAAGTTTTGGCTTTGTCTCAAAACTAAAAAATGCGATTATTGCCAAATCTCAAATACCTCCAATAAATGTATGTTGTTATCCGTAAATCATCAAAAATTTGCAGGTTATATGATTTTGGCTTCTATCAAGACCTCTCGATTTCATCGTGACTTAATTCTCAAGGAAATGCAGGTTGATTCTTTACTTTCTCGTCAACACATTCACTGATAATATTATTTAGTGCAGTAATTCGTCATTGTGAAAAATATTTAAGGTTTTACAGAGAAAAAAAAATTAGCTTGATGTTTTAATAACTTTTTCAGATCTATCCAATTTAAGTTTAAGTCCTGATACAACAATGATGCAGCACCATTCCATGTCTTACTCTGGCTATGACCATTCTAAAACACCACAAATGCAAGGTAATTTATTATGTTTTGTCAATGGCATATCCTTTGTTTTAGGCATACAATTTGGTTTGTACATTGGTAACAATATTAAAGGAAGTAAATTTTATGCGAATTGCCTTTTCTTACTCTCACTCGCAATGAAAACCGAGGATTCTTTCCATCTCAAATATTATCTCAAGAATCTTAATGTGAAAGTAAATAACTTCATTAGCATCCTGAACATGTTCTCTACCAACATATTTTAGCGTAACCGTTCGAGCTGGGCCAAAAAAACGCACAAGAACACAAACAACTGTACACATTTTTAATAACAACTGTATCCTTTTTTGTGGATAAAAATATCTATAGTGCCACGTAACTCAAATTTGAATTTTTGGTACCATTGCATAGAGGAATGTCCATTTTGAAGTTCGCACTTCCAAGAAATAGTTGAAGAAAGGAAGTTTGAACCTGTCAAGTTCAAGGCTCAGAATTGTCAATTAAATATAATGTCATGCCTTCTGCTTACTGTTTGGAAGATACCAGAGAAATTTTTCTGTCCAAAAATCAAATATGTACCAGATTTTGTCACCCTTTCGGAAAAAATTGCCTTCCAAACAAATCCTCTTGCAGAAGCTAATTATCTTCTCCCCAAAGATGGTCACAAATTTTGAGCCTACTCTGAACATTTGAATATTGAAAACAAAATGCCCTCGCTAATTTCCCATTTTGAATATTGTATGTGCTACGAATGTCGTTAAATCACTGTTTAATTCTCTTATTGATCACAGGATGCAGCGCCCTAACTCAGCCTGCAAGGCTTCCCATCACGCAATCGTCCGGAGCTTCCTCATCCATGACTCAATCATCATCCTACTACTCAGCTCCCGTTAATCGTTAGTATTTTATTTTTTTTCTGAAACTTCAGCTGAAATGGTCACTACATAGTCCGCATGAACATTTTGTCTGAGTGTAACAGAAATACAGCAAGTCATAGTTTGGAGGAAAATAAGTTGAAAGTAGTTTTAAGTTCAACCAGTAGTAAATTTGCTCTTATCAAAAGTCCAAAGTTGGTAAAGAATATTTTGAATGTAGAAACAGTTGTTAAATTTTGTTCTTTATATTGAGTCTCATAGGGGGAAAAAACTTCAAACTTATTTTTCTTGGTTCAAATTTGATGCGTTTGTGTTAAACTTGGCATAACAATATTATGAGCACCATGTTTGTCAAAATTGAGACTAATGGTTTTGAATTCAATTCTTTTATACATGTAAACAATAGTTTTTTTGTCCTTTTCCCTCATCTTCAAGGAATTTCTCAAAAAAGTTACGGACACAAGTAGACCATAAACCTGCTTTTGAGTGCAGTTGAATTCTGCAAAGAAAGAGAAAGTATATGTTGACTGAGCAATCACTTTTTCAGTGCAAGGAACTTTGGAAAAAGGTCACAAGTGAACGCTGAATGAATGCTTTTCCTAACCGCTCTTGCCCATACTAAAAAACCCAGGATCTAGAATCCTTCGATTTCACATTTTCTGCTTGCCTATGGCACTAATTCTTGAACCTTTTAGAACTCTCTCGAATTTTCTCCAAGCGTCAGTGAAAAGAATGTGGCTTACAAAGTTAGAGATGGAGCAAAAAGGAGCTGAGCCCCCTGGCTAGCTGTGGAGGATACACAAAGAGCGTCTGTAATGGCTGGTTTAAATTTAAACGTTTAAGATATCCAATTTCTACATTGCATCATTAAGTTCATTTGTTTTGTTTCGTGCTTTTTTTAAGGAAACTCTCTGTTCAGTTCTATTCTTACTTTATTTCACTAAATTTGAATTTTTATATTTAATCAATTTTTATCTACAGAGACAGCATATGCAAACCAGCAACCCCACCATCCAGTTACAAATCAACAGTCTGAAAATTCTAATTATTTTAAAGTCGAAGTTGAAGGTTAGTCTCTCAATAAAATTCTCATTAGTACCTGCATGAAAGTAGAGCTTGCTCCTTTTTGTTTCTTGTACTGATCGGTTAGACCTCCATTTCTCTTAAGGCTGCAGGCAAAATAAAAAATTTGGCCGTTTATTATTCCATTCGGTGAGAATTCAAAGGAATTATCCTGAAACTTTTTTATTTTTGAACTTAGCATCTGAGAAAAAAAATTAACCACTGATAAAGCTTCATTTTGCTCAGGAAGATACTTTTACAGTAATTTGAAAAACTCTTCATCATTAATGCGTCAGCAATATTCTTCAATATTGCAGAACATCCTGGAAGTATATCCACCTTTCATGATTACCATTTATTCGATTGAATGTGCCACATTAGAATGTTGAAAGATGTGGAAATATAGGTTCAGAAAAAAATTCAAAAATTTACTTTCTAGTAACTCGTAAAAACGGACCACTCTGAATTGAGCCTGATATAAGTGCTTATCAGAAAAATAGCGGAAAAAAATCCATAAAAAACGAAATTATTCTCCTATTTCATTGTAAAATTCGACATTTTCACTATTTATCTTCTTATTTATAAATTTTGAACATAAATAAGTTCTGAAAGACTCTAGATCTATTGATTTTTCTCAAAATTTAGGCAAAGGCAACCATAATTTAGTATTATAAATGATTGTCAAGCACTAATCAGTACCTCAGCTGACTCAACATAATTGTTGCAATGGTCAGGGAAAGGTCTGGAATTATATCCTTGAGTCCACAGACTGCCGCAAAACGGAACCTTTGTTTTTTAATCATCTAATTATTTACTTCTCCCATCACTGATTTCACTTCCAGATACATCTTACCGCAGCTCACAGCAACCGCATCTGCCTCAAGCGGGACCTGCAGTTCAAGATCCGAATTACTACAAGGTAGATGCAAGTGTGAAATTGCCGCAGTCAGATTTAGTGGCCAGCCGAAGTGCAAGCACAGTTCACCCTCCGAAGGTGATGCAGCCGCAAGCAGCCCACCAAGGTCAATACCCGTCCCCAAGTCCGGACGAGCCATGGAGCAAACAGAGTCCTCACCCTTATCAGCAGCAGAAGATACAGTTACAACAGCAGCCGCAGCCACAACAACAACATCCAGGACATCAACAGCAACCAGAACAAGCACAGTATTGTGAGTGAACAAGTTTTTTTCAATGATAAATACACAGTATTTTGTGAGACAGAGAACCAAGTTGTTCAGGAAAAGAAGGGTTTGTTTCGTACTCAATTGGCAGATTTGTATATTAAAAGGTTTCTTTGCACCAGAGATACAACCAGATGAGAGGAATTTTGTCAACAGAACTGCACAAAAATCACTTTGAGCACATCAGGAAAAGCTAAAATCCACTAGTTAAAGCAATTTTTTCCCCTACTATCCTTTTAGTAGATTTCCTTTTTGGTAAAGACGTACAGGATTGCAAAATCTACCCAATGGACCACTAGACAAGGTACGAAGTTAAGCATTCTGATGCATATTTCTTAACCAAAATAAAATGTAGAACATGATTTGCTTGAAAATCATGTCAAACTTATCACAAAAGTCTAAAATCTACTCCTTAGCGTGCAATCTGCGTAGTTTGTAACACCCTTTTTCAAATTTACCACAGTTAAGCAGTCTGGTTTGCTGAGAGAGAAACTAACCTAAATAAACAAACAATCTTGAGAACTATCATAATTCTCCTCACGTGAGTTTTCAATTGATTCAAAGATTTTGTTTTCAGAAAATAAAGAAAGAAAAAGGAAACAAACCCTTGAAAACAATTAAAATCATACAATAGAAAAATTTATTGAGATTGTTTGTTTATTGAGGCTAGTTATTTTTTACTTCTCTGCCTGTGCAAACCTGGTCGGCGGTGACTGCGAAAAACTGCCCTGCCCTGAGAAGCGGGAAACTTGAAAAAGCATGTTACAAACTAAGTATGCAGATTTTGCACCAAGGAATGGATTTCAGACCTTTTTACCGTGCTCAACGTGATTTTCAAGCGATTTTACCTGTCAATAGTACATTTATTTGGCTTTATCTCTTGCGTGCAACTGATCCAGCTTCTATAATGAAGAGCAAAAAAAAACCATAACTTTGAAAAGTGAGAAAAATTTTTTGGAACTAAATGAGGAAAAAAATCCAGATCGCGTAATTCGTTCAATGGAATGGTGCTTTTTGCACCCCTGAAGACATACACTGTTACCGGACAGCTGTCTGGTGATTAGCTCTTTTAAATTTTGTGACCTTTATGAAGAGTCTGTGCAAAGGATCAAGTGAATAAGCAAAGGCTTCCGTCTCAAAAACGAAATAAAATGAATAAGTAATTCATAACTCAATTCAGCTGATTGAAGTCTAGCCAGCCTTGCCAGGTATTGTGCCTTTGTAATGACCCATTCTTGTAAAATCTAGATTGCTTTGAACTTTCTTTTTTTTAGGGAACAACGCAGCCATTGTCTCAAAACAACCAGAACAAACCCTTTCTCAACAACCACCGCCAGAGTATTGGTGCTCAATTGCATATTTTGAGTTAGACGCACAAGTGGGAGAAACTTTCAAAGTCTCCTCATCATGTAAAAAAGTAGCTGTCGATGGATACGTGGATCCATCTGGAGGGAACAGATTCTGTCTTGGTGCTCTTAGCAACGTCCATCGAACGGAGCAAAGCGAGAAAGCCAGGTATATTCTTGCTGTTTACAACTCAACTCATATCTATGCGTAAAATATTATTTTAGGTTCAAATTTTTTAGTCCAGGCCTACTTATTTTGGAGAGTGATATTAAAGGCTTTTGAAAAAACGGGAGGTCTGCCCATTTATCGATTGAATGGCCTAACCATGCATGACTTAGCTTTAGTTAAGCTATGACAATGAAGCTGTAATGAAAAGGATTTTGAATCAACAAGAAAATAGTTGTTAAACTTCGTCGCCACTATTGAGTCTTACGGATTCGCAAAACTTCATATCTCTTTTTCTCAGTTTTAACTTAATGCAATTTGGTGTGTTCCCATTAAATTACGTCCAATTTTTCAAGGAACGGTAAAAATCACTCATTTTTCAGTGCATGATAGCATGTAGATTCCAAAAGTTAGACAATACTTTAATTTTGATACAGTGCAACATGGAAAAATTAGGGAGTTTTTACGCTTCAAATCCGTGCAGACCCTGTATGGATACCAATCCCTAAATAATAATCGCTGCTTTTGATTTCCAGGTTACACATAGGCAAAGGTGTTCTTCTTGAGCTGCGAGGAGAAGGCGATGTGTGGTTGAAGTGCTGCAGTGATCATGCGGTATTTGTCCAATCTGACTATCTAGACCGAGGAGCAGGAAGAGCTGTGCACAAAATCTTCCCTGGCAATTTTACAAAGGTAAAGCCTTTCTCTTGTCTCAGTGTCTCTTTAATGGGTCACTAAACCTTGTTTATTTTATTGAATATTCTGAAAGTACTTCGTGAGGAAATAACGTGGTGATTTTTCCGCATTTTCATGGAGCCAAAATCGCGGAGAAAACCGCTTTCGAAAAATCTAAAAACTGCAAGACATTTCAAACGCACTCGAATGGAGAGAAACTGATGCGGTTGATGTAATGCGGTAGTCATATCGCAATCTTCTCTAATTTTCCTCTGATGTTTGTTAAAATAAAACGTATTTCAATGTGGAGTTGTTGCTTGTTTATTACAGCTAACATATGAATGAGATTCTAGTCTTGAATTCAAAAGATATAATTTCGACTTTAGTATTGTTCTCATGTACGAAGAGTAGATAGACATTTGACGGACGTCGTGCAAACCCGTGCCCGCCTCTGATTGGTGCCGGATGACATCATTCGGTGCGGCGCGAAACCGGAGCGTTTTAAATTTGCGTATAAGTTGAGCGATTTGAACTGCGCATTTCTCGGTAATTGAGTTACTTGTTCGCATCGTGTTATATGCGTCATTTTCCTTCAGAAAACTATATTCGCAAGTCAAAATTCGTTCATGGTTTAGTGACCCATTTATCATTAGACAAGATGAAACTACACAAAAATCATCAGTCAGACTTGAAAATTGAGGATATTAGTTCATGTCCTCTCTTAAAAATTTTGTACCAAAAGCAGTGGAAATAAAAATATCCAGATTCAATTCATCAGTGAGGATTTAGCATTTTTTGTTCGAAACAATTCAAATTTTCTGCTGGTCAAAAATCCGAAGTCCACCCAAGTGGATTCGGTCACTGAAATAACTTCGTTATGCCTTACAGTGGGATGGAGCTTCTCTTGGTATTGAATTTTCCTCTTCAAGTTTCGTATACAAATCTTCCATTATTTTTAATATTTTATAAGATTACTAACTAAAATATCTCTACAATTTTCTGTGAATAATTTCGAATGAGTGAAGAAACAAGGAATTTCAACGAAAACTGTCAACTGGTTTTTTTAATAAAATGAAATATGGGTGGAAATTTGCAACATAGCAATCAGAGATATGCATTTTTCAACTTTACCCATCAATAGGGAAAGAAAATTGGTATCTATCTTGTGTTATTTCATTTTTAAAATACATTCAACGCCTTTGGAGGAACTGAATCATGTGAAAATAATAACACTTAAAGTATCATGGGCCGGAAAATTACAGGACGAGTCCACAAGATGCGACGTGAGTAAGCCAACGCCAGAGTCAATTTTCTTTGGAAGCTTATTCTTCCGAGGCCTCGAACTTTTCCTCAGCAAGGCAGTGTCTGGCTTGAATTTTGTCTCCGTGGTTGAAAGTGAAGACAACACGGGATCTTTTATTGTTCTTTATTATTCAAATATATTTTGTCCTCAATGGAGTTCCCACTTCTCACCTTTTTATTTATCTATTTATTCTCAGGTCTTTGATCTGCAACAGTGTTTCTGGCAAATGAGGGCACAGACGCAAGCAGCCCAAGTTGCTGCTGCAGCTCAAGCGGCAGCTGTTGCTGGACATGTAACAGGACCCCACAGTGTTGGTGGTATAGCCCCAGCTATTAGTAAGTCTATCAGTTATTATTTTCCTCTAGTTTTTTTTCTTCTTTTTTTTAACACTTCAAATATCCCACGAGGGATAATCCTGCACTTAACTGTCCCCAGAGCCCCTTCCTCCTTCCGTCCCTAATCAAGCCAGCCCCAGGTAACCGTTGTTTGAGACCATCAAACTGGGGTCACCTGGTCGGGAATCGGACCCGGGACCTCTCAACCGTAGAGCAAACGCTACAACCACTACACCACAGGAGGCCCGACAGTTTTCACAGTCCGAATTTTTGTCATCTTTTTTTTATTCTTCTTTTACCTATCGAATCCCTGCCTTACAAAACTATGGAATCCAACTGCGGCCGATTTTTATGTTGTGGTTAAGCGTCCTCAGCAGAAAAAGTTATCAAAATGCTCAATCTAAAGTCTTTTAAAGTAGCGATTTTTTTTCTTTTTCCTCCTGCGATGGAAACTGCCTTTTTTTTCATTTGTTTATTTATTCATCCACTTGGATGATGAAAAATTTTTCTTATGAATTTTTTTATTTTCGTCATTTTCATTAGTGAAGTGAAGAAATTGACTGTAAGTCTTTCGTGTTGGTTGTTTTACAGAGGCAAACATGTTTTAGTCGCATAGAATAAATATCTCCATGATAAGTGGCAAATTATGGAGCCATGCCCAGTAGATACCACCTCATCGTGTTCAATTAAAGGGTAGTGTTTTTTAAGGTCTTTAAGGGTGTGTCTAAAATACCTCCTACTCCCTGAATCTAGTCAGACTTATAGAAGATACATGAGCTTTCTGCAGTACATAATTAAGTGTTTCCTCTGCTATCATTTTCCAGAACTTAGCGCTGTTGCCGGCATAGGAATTGATGATCTTAGAAGACTTTGTATTCTTCGCTTAAGTTGAGCTTTCTGCAGTACATAATTAATTTTTTCCTTTGCTATCATTTTCCAGAACTTAGCGCTGTTGCCGGCATAGGAGTTGATGATCTTAGAAGACTTTGTATTCTTCGCTTAAGTTTTGTCAAAGGCTGGGGACCCTATTACCCACGACAATCAATCAAAGAAACACCTTGTTGGATTGAGGTAAGTTGAATGTTTTTCAATAGTCATTTTTTTCTCCTTTTTTTTGTTTTTTTTTTTGTTTATTTACCTACATCATCTTTTGTTGAGTAACTGTTGTCAAGTTTCATCTGGCTCGAATGCGCAGTTGTCGTAAATATATCAAAGGTAATTGCTCCAAAAATTCTAAAACCGCAATACATCCATACTGTTCGGAGCTTTAAAGAATGTGTTGTCTGTGAACTTTTGCTGTATGATCGCCCATTAGACTGAGTCATGTTAATGTGAGGGTCTCGATAGTCGATTATTAATGCGCTTTTATTTAGATAAAAGCACTTACAGAAGTGGATGAATGATTGTCTTTAAGCTAAATAATAACTTTAGAACAAAGTTTGGATTACAGTTGGAGCTGTGCAATAAATCAAACTTCAAACATAATCGCAATTATTTGTATTTGTTGTAATCAAAATCAAATTGATACATTTACAGCAAAATTTTAAACTTGGAATTCCAGCCGAGTTCGGTCAAATTTGTGTCCTATCTATAGTTACACATTGCGCGGTGAAAAATGTCTCTAAACATGTTGACTACCCAGAGAAAATATATAGTCCTACTGCTCGAGTGCCACACTTTAATGGCCACAGTGTCTCTAAGTCTAAAATTTTTGTTTTGAGCTTGGGCCACAAAAGAAGTGAATTCCTTTCAGATATTCCAGCTGTTTCAACTCATGTGCTAGCAATCAGTAGCTTAATTCTACAGGTTCTCCCCTCTGTTGTTTTCAGGTTCACCTACATAGGGCTTTACAACTGTTGGATGAAGTCTTGGCGAGTTAGAAATGCTGAGTTTATTTTCTTTTTTTCACTATCAGTCAGTTTATCCAATGTGAACTGGTGCAACGGTCAGTACATCTGGTGACTGAAGCTTCTACCTCACAAAATCGATTATTCTGACGTTGTATAATTCTGGATGAAGCTAGGTCTCCTGCAATGGTTTCGAAGTGAACGCTTTCTCTATTCCAGTGAAGTGCGTATTGAACTCCAGGCAATTCCTCAAGGCAGCAACCAGCAAACTGGTATATTGCAATGTGTGGATGACATTTCGCAAGCACTTCCTCCCTCGAGAGGGGGAGCCCTGTGTGAATATCCCCTGTCTATGCGCTTAATTTTGCACCCCTCCATCTCCCCTCCCAATTGTCTCCCTTACCAACAAACTTAGTCAAGATCTGCCCTCCTCCAAGGTAATGTTTGTATACTTGTTGATATCTTGCAAAATGGAAAGTGTCTTTTTCTTGAAAGTGGAGTCGGTTTTGAACTACTCTCAGGGTGTCTGCAGACTTTAAGAAATAGTAGTGTTGAGGAATTCCATGTTGAAAAGAAGAGCATTTTTCCTTTTGCCTAAAATTTTTCTATGGAATGAGTTTTCTTAATGATCGAATTTGGAAAGTGAAGACTTTGGAAAGGAAATGTTTGCACTCTTTCATTTGCCAAATTTTGGCAAGTTTGTGCTCAACCTGCATTTAAGGGTGATTTAAGGATTATATCCCAACCCCTTTTTAAAATAAATGGTAGAATCTCTTCTTTTTTCCTTGCATTACAGTAGATTTTCATTGATCTGGAAAGTCTCGTCTTTTCAATCAGGCAGAATTTTGGAGTGGTACAAATATTTTTCAAAGAATCCAGTAGTCACCCTGACATTTTATCTATGAGAAATGAGATCTATCCTCTTTTTTTTCCTTTTTTGGACCTTCCAACCAAACCTTACATGCAGTAAATTTGTATAATATAAACAGCATTATATACATGATATGGACCAATTCTAGCAAAATGGAAGTAAGGACTCAGCTTTTTTTTTCGTTTGTAAGCATGTACTTCTATGGCAAATCAATGGAAGATTTTCCATTCCTGGAATTAATAAGAAAGTTAGTTTCTTTTTGCTGTACTTGGTCGTTACATATCCTGTGTGCGTTTCTTGCATAACTGCAGGATTTAAGTGTACATACCTCTAGGGGGTGAACATACATTGGTGGATCAACAAGTAAGTTTCCTATGCTTTAGTTCTGTTAATATTTAACAGATTTAAAATAATTCTAGACGAAGAGAAAGCACAATTTTTTCTAAAAAAGTTTATGTAGCTCATATTTGTTTGGGACAGAATAAGGTGAGCTTCGTTGATCCGCACCTGACAAGATCCGAGCATTTTTGTCTGATTTGAGCAATGAGAAGTTTCTAGGATGTTCCCTAAGCCTAATAAAATTAAGGAATCATTTAAAATAACACTACAAAACGGTAAGCTTACTTTTTTTTCCACCTAGGTATTAATGATTCTTCGTATCAGAAAAACGCTCAGGATGTTATGTTTGTTTTTATTTTCTAAAAGTTTCTTGGAATGTTAAAAGTATTTATTTCTAAAGGATGTTTTAGGAAATCGAAAGGATTCTATGAACTTTTTAATATTAAGGATGTTTAAAGAGCCTTTAGTTTTTAAATAAGTATTTTCTATTTGTTTTGTATTATTTCTAAGATATTAGTTTACTCCCATGTTTTTACTCTCTTTCCCACCTTCAGTTTTTTTTTAAGATTTGACTGCATTTTAACATGTATAATTCATCGTCTAGTATTCGTTTCTTCCTCTCACTACAAAGTTGCCCCAGCTATAATTTTACTTTAACTTGCAACTGAGGTAGTAAAACTCAAAATGGAAGGACTGCACTTTTTATTCTGATTGTGGTATTTTATTTTGAGCAGAAATTACTTTTGTAAAAGTTCATTTTGGAATTTATAAAGAAATCTCATGGCAGTTTTAGGATTTCCAATGGACTATGAAGTAAATTGATGAGGCTTTCTGAAGGCGGCCTTTGAGGAACAGCCTTTAGGGTGGAGAAAAGGCTGTCCGTTAATGACAGCAGGTACATACTTAACAGAGAGGGGAGAGCTCTATGACAGCCGGACAAATCCCTTTCAAGGAAAATAAGAGGGGAAGAGGAATGGAAAAATCCAGAATTTTGCCTGATGTCATTTAAGGACATCCTCTTAAATCATGAGAGTTTTTTTTAAGAAAATTTTGAAATTTGTTCTGTGTATTGTGCTGTTTTTAATTTTCTCAGTACAAGTGGTGCCTTGGTCAGGAGAGACGATACCTACTATCTCTCTACTTAAAAGTGAGGCGGCCTTTGACAATGTATAGGACTGCATTTAGCCTTTGATTCTTACAGGCTCCATTATTTTTTATCAACTGGTTTGTTAGAAGTTAAAACGGTGCGCATTAATGAGGACTTTAGAAATTTCCGAGATTTTTTGTTATTTTTTTTTTTTATTAAAGAATCATTGTTGGAAAGTTGCATGGTAACTTAAAATATTGCCTGTCAGTTAGCTTCTATCTCTGTAAAATCGATTTGTTGTAATTTGTTTGCTCTTTTTTGATATTCCGTTTTATAGAGACAGATTTTAAGATATTTTTTTGACAATTTGAACACTAATTTGTTAATTTATTAAAACTCTGCAGCTACTCATACTTTAGTGTAATGCTAGATCACTGGACAGGATTATAAATGAAAAATTGAAACTCTTATTCTTTTGAAATTTCATCTGCCCTTTAGAGATTACGCTAATGTACAAAACCTTTTGCTTGACAAAAATCCAAAGTTCCCTCCTGTTAAATTTGTGTTAAACTGATTGCAGGTTGTTTTAAAGTGGAAAAATTTTCTTAATTTGCTGAATTTTACATCCTGAGTTTACAAGTATTGCGCAGTAGAGAAGAAAGGAAATATTTGTAATGATAAATACCATGTATATTTCATTGTTTTTAGTCTATAAAACCAAACTTTGAACCTTGCTGAACGTTTAACTCTGGTTTCAATGACTGATTTTACCTACATTACTTCTAATTTTTTCACCACATGGAGTTTAAGTACATAGACTGAATTTCTTGTAAACTTCAAACACTGATTTCTCATCTATGAGTTGATTTTGGAAATTTTCCATTTGCTCAATGTATTTTGCGCGTAATTTTGATTCAGTAGCATAGTTTGTGGTACCTTAATTAATTCTTACTAAGTCTGTTGGTCCATCAAGTAGGTCCTTTTTATTTTGGATTTGCTCTCTACGCTATTTTTTAACTTTTTGCCGCCATTTTCAATGTGAAATTACGGGTTCTTAAAATCATAACCATTTTCTTGTGCTCTCCATTAATTTGCTTATTTGCAACAAGGATAAAAATGTAATCATATTTTTCAAGACAATTCAATACACTTATAATCTGTACCATCACAATGAAGATCATTCCATTACTTGATTAACCTCAGAATTCCTAAAAAAAGACCGACCTTATCTATCTACCAACAATTTTATTTGATCATTGTCATAACGATGGTAATAGAAAAATTATGTGGCACTGCGATCACTTGGATTGCATTTTGCATAAAAGAACCAAGAGCATTCCAATGTTGCTAGGATTGTGCAACTTACATTCCTTCCAATAAAATTACTGAAGTAATGCAAAAAATTAAATTTACGAAGGTAATTTTTGTCTTGAATTTATATTTTATCGGGAGAAAGGATAAAACTTGTTCAGATGATCAGTTTAAATGTGCAAGGTAAAAAAAGTTGCACCATTTTAGCAACACCGTAGTACTCTTGGTTCCTTTTTGCAAAATGCAATCCATTTTATGAAAGAATCTGTCGTGAAACATCATAACTGAAAGTCATGTGACTGAAATGGTCCATCTGAAATTAAGAATTTGTAAAGTATGCAAGTACATAAAAGCTAACTTAGTTGAACCGCTGTTCAGACAAAATTCAGCTGAGGTAAAAATTGTATTCCCCAATTGTATAGCAGTACCCAAATGGTAACTTTCATATTATCATGTGAAACCCATTCCATAACAAAAACATTTGGTGAAATCACGTCAAGACCATGATTTCCAACACGGTGGAATAGATCTGGAAGGATAGCTTGGAAACCAGAAATTGTGTATTTAATATTTCGCAGTTAAAACTCAACTTGGGCTTTGTCAGAAGTCCAAACTTAGCATTCTTGTCAACCTGTCTTCTTTTCCTTCTCCAATATTAAAAACGTACAATTTTCTTTTGTTCCATCAGGAAAGAATGAACTTTGTGATACAAAATTTGTCATTGCCTAACTACATATTTCTGTGTATCTTTCTCAAAAACAAAAACAAAAAAAATATATTTATTTTTTTATCCAAAGCTGGGAGTATTAATTTTCATTTCTGCAAGTGACGATCTTTTGTAATTGCTTTACAACCTTAGTTGAATCAGCAAGAATGAAAACACACCAACCGGCAAATTGCAGAGACAATTTGTCATTTGTCTAAGCAATAAGTATATTGCCTAGGCAATTTACGAGCCGCGAGTGATGAATTGTAAAATGATGAAACGATGAGGTTTTACCCTAAAGATTAGTGTTTTTTCCTCAGTTAGGATCACAAGTTGTTAAGCAGGTCACTAGTTACAGTCTCTCAGCAATAATTTTTAGTTTTCGAAAGTTCACGAAACGAGGCATTAGAATTCGGATTTAAAGCACAATTTAAACTTATGGTAGAATTGGATTGTGAATATTAAGTTTTTTACTTTTTTTTTACTTTTTAAATGAATAAAATGCGTCATTAGAGTTTCAAATCGATAATTTGTTTTCACACATTGTCGAAGAATGGCAGCGATTGTTGCCCTTCAATTTGGCTTTAGAGCAGGAGCACCAGTTAGTGCAACACTGGGTTTTTGAAGTTGAGCAATCACACTTCTTAAATACTGGTCCACCGAAAAACGAGTGATGAGTTGCAGCCTCTCCTGTCCTAACTTTTTTCATCAAATCCATATCTTTCAGTTTCAAGTTGTTGGTAGGAACTTCTACGTGTGAAAACAAATAAATTTTTATTGGGGTTTAAATTTTAATGACGCGTTTTATTCTTTTAAAACTAAAAAAATGAATACTCATAATCCAAGTTTACTTTTTTTTTAAAGTTTAAACTGTGCTTTTACGCTAAATTCTAGTGTCACGTTTCATAAACTTTTAAAAACTGAAAATTTCTGAATGACTGCAACTAGTAACCTGCTTAACAACATGTCATCCAAACTGAGGATATCACACCAAACTTCAAGGTAAAACCTGTTTCATCATTTCTCAATTCATCACTTGCGGCTCGCAAATTGCCTCGGCAGCACGCATATTGTCTGAGATTGCTAATAGCTAAAACATGTTGTTTACGAGTAAACACATCAAAACGCAAAAGATTTCAAAATTGCAATCGCAAGTGCTCAAAGCAGCAGCGCTTAAAGCTTCATCTGATTATAGCTTCTGCTTCTACTGCTCAGTTTTTTGTCTCCTGAACATTTTTATTTTTCAGGGTTGGTGTTTTTTCATCTAACTGATTCCATTAATCAATGAAAAAATTCATGCCTTCTAGTTTTTAGTCACAAGAGACAACTCTTCTCTTTCCTCACTACTCTCCTTGTTCCACAATCAATGGATTCTCCTTTCTTTCTCTTGTGGCTAATGCCCCTCTGCAGCGTTATGTTGACTACCAAAACTATAAAACGGCCATCATCTTCATTTTTCCACTTTGGGTTGATACAAATCTGAGGACACAACCAAGAAAAAAGAATATTTGTATTTTAAGCACTTTTTATTTTTTCTTATCTTGGTAATCTACATTTTCATTTTTTGAACCTAAAAGACGTAATAAAAACAATACTTTGCACAATATTTACAAAATTTACAAAAACAACAGTGTTGTTTCAACACATTTAAATATTAATAGTTAAAATATTTAGGACTGGACGGTGGAACACAAAAGGAATTCTCATGAGGTGTTGACGTCAGCCCTGATAAATTATGTCTAAAATTACATGGTTTTCATCCATCTAAATTTGAAGATAAACATTTCAGAGATTCCATTTTAGCAGCTTCCATTAGTTAACAAGGAAATTAACAATCCTTTTTGCTACCGATATTGTTAGCTAACCAGACTGATGAGTGACAATTATCAGTCATTATGAGGTCCAGATGAACCTAAAAGAAACAAGTGATCCGCACAGGAACCTAACTTCAGCTTCGCTCATTAACATTGTTGTTGGCGCAGAACTTCTAAAATATTTCATCTTCGCCTAAAACGGGTGCAAAGACTTGGTCAATGATATTTTGTCTAAGAGAATGACACCGTTTAGTCAAGAGAAATTTCACGGCGTTATAAATTAGAATTAAATTCTGAGCAACGTTGCATTGCCTAATTTCGAATATTCGAGGCTCATTTACACAGCAAACATTCTCCAATCATAGATATTGATTTTTCCTTTCCATTGAAAACCCAAACAGTTTTTGATAAAACAAACTTCAAAAAACTAAAGTTAGTTAAGTTAGGACCGCCTTTACCACAAAAATGATGATGTATGACTGGACAGCTCCAACTGAAATCGACCTAACAGCATTTCATATTGCCTAATTTTCTTTTTTCCATCATAGACTCAAAAACAGAATGCCTTGAAAATGCATGTAAACTTTTGCTACAGAAAGTATTCTTACAGAATTGCCAAACATAGTGTTGCACGGTTTTCTGTTGAAAAGAAGAAAAAAAACATTGGAGAAAATAAGGCATTTAATGCAGTTTGACAGACTCCAGTTGAAGCTGTTTGTCTATCCACCTTTTTTTCTTGATGAAATTTTGAACCAGGGTAATAAAGGACAAAATAACTTAGCCTATCAGAGAATTGAAATAAATAGCTCAATGAATACATTATCCATAAATTACAGATAGTCACATGATAGAATCAATCAAATTTCTGCTAGCATACTCTAGAGGAAGAGGGAGTGCTAAAATGATGAGATGCAGGTGATAAGTTGAGGAGGGTAATTATCCCAAAATTTGTATTATGAGAGAATGGCTCTCAAATTTTTGTTTTTTTTTCATTCATTTATGCGAATTATAAAAACTTGGGACCTTGAAAAAATTCTTTTACATTCATCACAGGCGGCATTTGCTACATTAATGTAGTGTATCAATAAATAAAAGAAATACACACGCCATAACACAAGGATCTTTCTGTATGAACGACTCTTAATTTAAGAGGCTTTCTTTAAAAATATCATTTAGGGGAAAAAATCGAGCACTTAACTTAAGTTTAATAAATCATCATGAAATCATCAATTGAAGGAATAATGGACACTTTTCATGGCTGGTAACAGCTACGAAAGTAAGAGCAAAACAAAATATAAACTTCTTGACTTATGTCTGTCCATGTTTGAGACAACCTTATACATTCATGTCAAGCCTTCTAATCAACTTAAGACATCACTAGAGATTTGCAAATCACCACAAAGGCAGTTGACTAATATTTGAAAGTTAGATTTGTAGCCATTTATATTAGAAGAGATGACACAAGTTCTTTTTGAAAAGTTCCCCTGTGACCCGAGGATCTTTTCACACATACCTGCTTAATTCAAGACAAATTCGTAAGTTTTTATGACATTGAAGAAGGGCATCTCTGACGTCCCATTTACTTATTGTTGCTATTTGTTACAAATAATTGCTGAGCTGCATTTTATTGACTTAGACTGATAAATCATTTGTATCATAAAGATTTTTACAGTGATCAATAAATTATAAGCTTCGTGTGCATTAATTTCCACATCTTCCATTAAATCAAAATAACAAAAACTGCAACATCAGACAGATGGTCTGGCGGATTTTTAAAGTGGAAAATCATCTATTCTTTTATCATGACAAGCATAAAAAAGAAATCAAAACCGGAGAGCAATATGAAGCAAAGTTTTGTGAAAAGAGCTTTGTGTAGCCCTGAACATATCTCTTCTTATGTACTATTACTAGGATCTAGGAGCTTAGTATCTGAATTTTGTAAGTCAAAACGAATAAATCTTAAGTCTTAGAAAAATACAATCATTTTAGATTGGAAGTATTGTTGGGATTTTTTTAAAACTGCAGTTTTGTCAATCAGAGCTCTTCAAGGATCGGAGAGAAGCTTTTTCGCAAAATAAATCGTCTCACATAGGTTGGGTAGTCCCTATTACCCCGAGATGTTGAATTGGAAGGATTTGCGATTTCAGTATCAAAATGATAATGCCCAAAGGGATGAATAGAAACACTTCTTGATTTTAGATGCAACTATGCTGCTTTTAGAGCAGCAGAAACATGATAATTTCCCAAACGATCATCTATTTTCTGTGTGTTCAAGTATTTTGACTGACTAAGGTATGACCCTTTCAACTATCGAAAAGATGAAATACTTTTCTTCAGTTTACTTGCTTAAGATTGGACAATTTTCACCATCATGAAATGAAAATTTCTATGACTGATTTCTCATCACTTGATAGCATTTGGCATTTCAGATCAAGCTGTCTCAAAGTAAAAATTCTTGGTGTCGCTGTGATAATACAATGATCTGCATGCATTTTCTTTCTTTTAGAACATATTCAGGAATAATTTCATTGTTCATGTCCAAAATTTATCACTTTAAAAAAATAAAAAAAATAAAATAAAATAAAAAAAAAAACCCTTTGAAGGCGTGGACAACTGAAAAATTCCTCTCCTCACAAATTATTTAACATGATATGGTTACAAGGATGACAATTAATGGATACTACTAAGCGACAGGATATGGGGAGTAAGTTTCAAGGTAAAACTTAAGGAGGTTCATATTTTGGAGGAAAAGTTAATTCCTTGGTTTCTGAACTGAGATAGAACAACGCTCACCTAAAGAGCTATTAGGAACAATGTTTCGTCTGTTGGCTCACTTCCAATGTCAAAATCTACTTAGAATGTAAATGTTACTTGGGAAAATCACAATTTTCCCACACTGCTAATAGTTAAAACCGATATTAAGAGGTATCAGAAACAGTCAAATATCTAGGAGTTCGGAAATATTTTATTAGAGAATTTTCCAGTTTCTTAATGTATACAAAACGTTTAATTTTTCCTTTGAGAAAGAAAAAGTTAATGTTGTCAGCAAAAAGAAAATTTCATTTGATATATTAGTTTTGACTTCGACACGAAAACAATGAAATATAAAAGGAGGAGAAAAAAGAAAAAAAAGATAGGCAGATATTGCAGACTCACGAAAAAAATCAGAGTCTAAACTTCTGTGCAGAGGAGAGAAAAATATGTTTAAATCCTTCATGTAACATTGGAGAAAAGAATTTGAAATTTTCACACTTCATAAAGAACAGGAGCATAAATGAACTCTTCAAGTAAAACCAAGAGATTCGTAGCCGATAAAATTGATTCGACACAAAATATTTGTGGATAAGTATTTCATTTGATGTTTTTTACAACTTCCTAAACACGATGCACTTTTGAAATCGAACTTTCTGTGGGCCACTTACAAGTTACATGGCGCTGAAGAGTGAATTTTATGGCATGTTTAAACATCTTTGCTCAGACAATGTGGCACTGCTGCTAGGTCAGGCCTTTTGTTCTGACGCAGTTGATACGACAGTTGTATCTTCCCCACAGGGGTGTGGTAAGGAAAGAGGGTATTTCCTTTATCACCAACATTTTTAGTAAAATAATATGTGTAAAAAAGCTGAAAAATTCAATTTTTAGTTCTGCTCTCCTTAAAACTGGCACTTAGTAAATTCAAATTTTGAAGCTTATCTCTCTAGGTGGGTTGTAAAGAACATCAAGTCGAATAATGATATTTAGCCAACACTGAATTCCCTGGTTTTACATGCAGTGTTCTTTCGACTGCGATCTCTCTAGATTTGAAGATGGTCTATTAAATGTACATGTTCAAACTTTGTGCTTAAGACAAGATAAAAAAAATTAACATTATTTTCTTGGGGACAACTACATTGTGACAGAGCATAGAGTGCTTTTGCACGAACTTAGCTGATACTACAAAAACAGGTGAAAAAATTACAAAGAAACAATGGAGGGGAGGGGGCATATAAAGTGGAACAGCTTATAGATAGTATTCAAATAGTCCAAATATTACAGAGCTTCAATGAGAATAGGATAAACTATGTGGTAAAAAGATTTGAGTATTTGTGAACGTATGTCCGCAATGCTGTGCCAAAGTCATCTGTATGACAACTGTAAACATAGCAGAAAATTGAAATTAGAACTAGGGGAAACGTTATTCGTGATGAAAATTCAGTGTCCCTGCTAGGCGGCAATTAAGTCAAAAGTATTAACTTGAAGGATCTGATCTAGGAACAACCACCACTAAAGTGGTGCATACAATGTCTGAAAGATACAGGATTACCATAGAATTTAGAGAATAAAATTTCCTGATTTTCCTCACATACTGAAGGAAAAATTTCCTGACAGTAGAAGCCATGCAGGATGGTTAAAAATATGTAATTTTAAACAGTTTTCATGCAAAATTTCCTGTCTAAAACATCAAACCCATTCTAGCAGGCACATAAAGGTTATTTGAAAAAATTTTCCTGACACTTTCATCATTTCTCCAGACATTTCCCTGTAATTTACCGGCTTTCCCAGTATTCCCAGACTGTGGCAACCCTGAAGATATTTAGCTTTATTGGTATGTGTAACAGCTGTTGTCAGAAATGAAAGTGTGAATAACTCGAACTGAACTCTTCAGCACTTGGCCACTATTGATGATACCCCTTCACCCCTTTCTAGTCATGGGTGGGGGGGAAAAAATGTCATGTAGAATATACCTGAAGATGTTTTCCTGCAGCTAGGACAAAAATTGTGACTGCATTTGCCAATCTTATCAACATCACTGAAATCATCTTAACTTTAAAAATCTTTGAAGAATGTGATTGAAATTCTTTGCACATTGAATTTTAATAGAAATAGGCATAATACATTTTTTACGTAGGACATAGCTTTGCACCTCCAACATGATTTGTTTTTGTCACTGTGTAAAGTCTTAAATTTTCAACCGTCTCCAAATAATGAATGTGTGTTGGTTGAACTTCCTGCTGATCCATCATTATGATTGGTACAACAAAATGAGGCACACATTCAAGGAATTCAGAAAAAACAAAATATGTACTTACAATTGAAAATTGCTACCATGATCGGTGAAGGTGCAAATTTCTGCTGAGCACAGAGCGAACATCTTGGGTAAACCTTAGGGCATCTAAGACAGGTAAAAGACTTAACAATGCAGTATCACTAGGGTCTTGAGTCCATGATCTGATAGGAATGGCATTCTCTGGAAAAGGATAGAAAAAAAATGAAATGATGTTAGAACTGAACAATCTGTTTTGACATCTAGGTTATTTAAGAAGAATGTCTACGGAATCAAATAAATTAAGACGCAAGGGTATGGGAATTTTTTCGCTTTTACAAATATTAGCAAGCTTTCCTATAAAATGCCCTTTCTGCAAAAGGGCTTGGTACCATTCAAAGAGCACAACACGGTGCTAAAGGACTAAGTTCACATGAAGTGATGCATTTTACCGATGCGCAAAATCATTTCCAATTTTATTCCTCCAAAAGTAAATGTAGTAGCTGAGTGGCCTTTCCAAAAAGCAGCGGAGAAAAAAAAAGAAGAAAAAAAACTCGACTGCTTTTACCAAAAAATCCACAGCTCACACTGCTTTTGCAAAAAAGGGCTTATTGACTCTGTAAATCGGCAATTACATAACTCAGTTAGCGATATCGCAGACTTCCTGACATACTTTATTTTTTAAACAAAAAACTACTCTAAAATTACTGTGATTTTTCTTCTCTGTGCAAAGAAAATTCTGCGAAAACTTAATAGAATGGTGTCAATTTTTTCTCCTTTAAAAAAATAACATAGAGGTGGATATTTTCAGACACCACAAACGAGATATGTGATTGCAGAATTACGCTGTTGTAATGCATTCCTGCATATTCTGATCCCCTATTAAGACGGACATTGCACCTACCGTCCTCGACTTAGAATCCTGATTTGAATTGCCGCTTTGACAATGAATATTGATATAAAGAAAGCCGGAACAAGAAAACTCACACAAATAAAATAAAATCGTTGATGCGTTTCCGGGCTCCCCAGCCCCTTCTTCAAGGCTAAATTCCAACTGGTTTTTCTTTTGAAATTAATTAGTCCTAATTAAAAGTTAAATTAAATTTAGCATTAGCTTAATTACCAATTGTGAATAAATACAAAGTTGCTCACCTGGATGAGATCGGTAAGCTCCAGGAGAATTGTCAAGAATAAATATACTAGATAGGTCACTGCAAATGGCAGAAAGGTCTTTGGTATAACACCCTGACTCAGGTGTGCAGTGTTGTCGATAGAATCGTTTCCGTAAAATTCCTCGATTATTATCTAATATATCCGCAACTGCAGCACCATAAATTTCCATACTAGCTGTGAATACAACTAATTCATACCACTGAGAAACCTGGATACAGAAAAAGAGACAATTACTAAACAAATACATCAGGACGGAAGGAAGAGACACACACCAGCAGGCTCATTATTGAACGATGGACCAAGCAATAGACAAAGAAGACATGAGGAACATGGAGCGATCCTATTGGTTTAAACAGGTGGTTGTTATGGACTAAGGGGGAAAATGATGAACTAACTATAGGGTCTCTTGTGGGTTGCCGTTAGTTTGTCTATTGCTTACCTCCTTTGTCCATTGCAACCACCCGCTTCCACCAATAGGATCACTTTAGTTCCTGTTTGTCTTCTTTGTCTATCAATTTCAATAATCAGTCCGCAGCAGAAGTGCATGAGATTCTTAGTTTTCCTCCTGAGAGAGCCTACTTTTTTGATAAGGTGACCATTGCTTTTTTTGCTGTTCATACACAGCTACCCACTTTCGGGTCGATTTGAGTATTCTTTTCTCTGTGCCCTTTCACTTTTTCACTGCCAACTGATGAAGGGATTACGATAATCCCATGGTTGAAATGCAGCCAGTTTACCATGTTCTTCTGAGCTGGCAGGAGAAAAAAGATAGAGCAAGAGCCGGATATGCCTCGATCGACTTGATGTTTGGTTGTGATAAATTGTACTAAAAACTTTTCTACAAAACTAATACTGGTGGAAGTTACACACCCCCCCCCCCCTTGGTTCATCGGAAAGCAAGTGGACTGTTTCTATATGAAAGCAAAGTACATGGATGCAGAATGTACTTTCAATGGCCTAAAACTTGGAGGTTACATGCATCAAAGATATTAAGTAAAAAAAAAAATAATTTTTGGGTAGGAAGGTTGTACATCAATTTTTTAAAAATCGCCGTGTCCCAATTCTGCAGCAGATTTCATTCTCTCTGAGGCATTGAGTAGGAAACAGGTAGTTTGCAGGCGGATAGATATGCTTCCATGAACTTAAAAATTCATTTTTATACATTTCAAAGATACTTTCTAAAACGTACAAACAAGGAAATGCAAGATTTTAAAATATTTTCAAAATTACAGCGCTTCGTTTCCATTAATTTCATGATTTTTAAAGTACCTATTTGACAGAAAAATCAAGGGGGTTATGGGGGAATAATTACCCTACCAACCAGAAAATTAATGTTTATTCAACTCAGGCATCTTTCTTCCAGTAAAAAATTCAGTTTTGAGCATTTAAAGCTCAGAAAAACGTTTCTCGCTAAAATTTTAGGAGGAAACACTCATTTTCATGACAATACCTGAATTTAGAAACAGCCTCAATGGGATTAGTTTTTTACACACTACAACTTCTTTCTATCAAGGCTGCTTGCCGCTGATAATGTTTTCTCAGACATCTTTTGAAAAGTATTTCTAAAAGAAGAGAAGACAGGGTCAACACTCTACGATTTAACTTACAATGTCTAGGAAAAAATCCACATGAGGTCGCTTATGAACAAAAAATCGAACCGGATGAGTGTCTATTACAACTTTGAGAACGAAGTCAGGAGGAATAACAGGTTTGACAGTTGTCCGCACGACTCCATCATGGTAGGAGTGAATCAATGTTTCATCTAGATCTAGCACCAGTACTTTCCTTTTCACAAGACCTGGAATAAACAAGAAAAAAGAAGATATTCAATCGGACATAATGGATGGGATCATAAGGAAAGTAGTTACATAAGCCCTCAGAAATCCTATGAATCAAATCTATTCTGCACAAACATCTGATGTGCTAGTGTGAGCGTCCCCAGAAGAGAAACTTAATGCTGAGAACCTGAACATTGAGAAGGTAGGGCTACTGCTGAAAAGAATGTTTTACCAGGGTGTCTACAAAACCGGGATGGCCAAAGATCAGTACGTTTACAGTACTTTTTTGGTACATTCCCTAAAAATTCAGTACCTCCTCAACAGAAAAATTCATTACTTTTTCAGTACCTCCAATTGACAAAATTTGAAAAATTGCGAAAGTTCAAATTTTTTCCAAGTTGGACAAAAATGACAAAAAAATGAAAAAAATTCTGGAACCTTCTTGCGAAATTTCCGCACTTTTTCAATACTTCCAGACCGCACTTGAAAAATCCGTAGTATTTCCGGACTTTCCGGAAACTCCACACTTGTAGACACCCTGTTTACAAGCGCTTTGGTATCAAACATGCCAAAAAATGAAGAGCCATAGTGCATTTACAACAGTTAGAAATATGCATTTCCTAAGATTTGCGTCACTTTTACAGCAATCCATGGGATGCGAGATCAGGTATTTTGGCACCCCTACAATCATGGGTCATGAGGAGCATTGAGAAAGGAAAAAAACCAAACTAAGTAATATGAACTGAGCCTAATTGACAGACTAATTCTTGTCTTTCGCAGGTCAAAAACGAGGAAAAGTGTATATATTTATTATTTTTAGTAAAAATGCCAAGGGAAAACTACTCACTCAGCCGGTGTCTTGAAAGCGGAGAAAGTGGATATATTTCATATCTAACTGGTTGATGGTGCTGAAACTAAAAAAAAAAAAGTTTATTAACAAAAATTCCAATTTAAAAGTATGCATTATGAAGGACAGTAGAAAAAAACGGTAGATGGATAGAGCAAGTTAAATTTTGGGAGGCAGATGGATGACTAAATGTAACCATCAAGTCAATCACAGTCAATTACCTTTGCCTGGAAATACTTGTTTCTGGTCTAAAACCTATATCATCTCAAAAGATAAGCTGCATTTTTACTTTATTTTTTTTCTTTCTTTTTTTTTTTAACTTGAAACATTTAGGTACATTCACTTTCTAAACATGGTGAATAATATTCCAACGGAATAATTTTTCTGCATTTACCTTTCTTACTTGATGTTTTACTTTAAATATAAGTTTTGAACTCATTGTCAGACTAAAAAAGCTCCTGCAATTAGAAAATGAAAACTGAACAATTTTATACTGGACTGTCAAGTTTTTTTTTCCTGACTTCTTACAAACGCTTGGTCCATCTAACATTTCTTCATATTACATGTGACAGCCTCACTTCAAGTGAAATGATTCTCCTTGCCTTCCCTCCCGACTCTCCTAAGTTACCATGCGAAAATTACATGAAAACTTGACAGTTGGGTGTACAATTGAAAGCACTGACAAAAAAAAGCTTCTCACTGCACAACAAATTTTACAGACAAAATTTTTGTCGAGAAGGATCGAAAAATCATTTAAGTTTTTAAGAAAGAATTTTCTCTGGGATTCTGAACGATGGATACAGTTTATTAAATAATTACCGATTACATTCGAACCTAAAATTTCAAGCCCCAAACAGGGCATCTTCAAACCTGCAGTAACTCTTTCTTAAAAAGTGTTTGCTAAGATGTTAACTTCAAATTGCTAAGACTCCAATTTTATAGGATATTTTTATGCATGTATCGGGCAAAAAAAAACAATTAAAAATATTTATCCAAGTAGTGATACAAAGTTAAAATTTTTTTATAAGTTTTTCGTCTCAGATCCAAGATTGCTCTGTTGTGTCATGCAAAATATGGATATTTTAAAAAGAGAAAAGAGCTTATTTCCAAGTGCTATTTGGCAACAAAACAGAGATTACTTTTCCTTTGAATGGTTACAATCATTTTGTTGGCATCTCTCAATTTGAGAAGATCTTGAAATTCCATATAAGTACAACACAAAGTGAGATTAAGTAATTGCGTACTTGTAGAGATAAATCAAAGGAGAACTCTTTCAGATCTATTAGTATTTATATGTTTCGCTTAAAATCAAATAATCGAAGGGAACAAAACAATCCTTGTAATTGTAAAAAATGCTAGAGAGGAATGTTACAAGAAAGATCACAATACCCTTGGCCGAAACCTAGCACTTGGCCTGGATGCCAAGAGGATTATAAGCTCAGTTGCCAAATTCCTCCATACTAGGAACTAAGCAGGTGGGAAAAATAAGAACTTAAATGAAGGGATGAATAGCTAAGAACTTTTTTGAGGACTAGGTTTAGTGCCTCATGAAGTACACAAAAGAAGGGTTAAGAAAGAGGATAGTATGAATGTCCAGAGTAAATAGTTTGACAACATCCCCCTTGAAGAACAAGAGTACTTGGCTCACTTCCATCAAGAAGAGCGTTCAGTTTTTCTTCCATAACTGCAGTCAAAGCAGTTGAAAATTAGGAAAAATGTCCACTTCTCCCTGAGGGCATTTATAAAATCTCACCTTAGAGCTTAGCAAGACTTTGAATTCAGAGAATGGGGGATAAAATTTGCCTGCTAAAGAGCCATGATTCAAGAACCATACAACTAAAAAGAAATTTTTTTCTCATTAGTAGATCCATGCAAAATAGAAGAAAAGAGTTGGATTAATTCAGATACATTATGAAGTAGAATTCAATCCATTTTTAATATTCTAAACATTTTTCTGGTTAACGGCCTTCAGAAACAGATTCCTTTTTCAAGTCATTCTCGGAGGTTTCTTGAAAAAGACTCATTGAAACAATATCACATTTGGGTACAGATTATTAACCTAGAGATAAGCAAAATGCAGTTCAACCTTCACTTGGAAAGAACATTGGCATTCAAGCTTCCAAGATTCCTCGAAATCATGTTGACTATCTATTGACATTAACTACTGGAAGCAAATTCTATTTAAATATTTGCATTCGCCATGTATTGACAATACCAGGTATGTATAAGACTCTTCAGCAAAACCAACTTGTTCTTAGAAGGTAATAATACGATTTTTTCTTAGTTTCAGCATTAGTTAAAATTACTGCAACATTTTTCTTGCTCTCATTTTTTTACACACTGTAGGTAGAATGGAAAATGCAAAATGTACAGCTTTTTAAACAGCCCCCTCCCCCCCTCGAAAAAAGAAAAAATATATTCTCAGCAGTCTCAGAATCTTTTCAATTGATTCTTCGCAGACGATTCTCCGTACTTACAACTCTCGTGCCTTCAACTGAGGTTGGTTAAGAAAAAATGAAAACGTAAAAAGGAGAAATGATTCCTAGTTTTGAACTCTCCAGGCTCCGTGAGACAGGTCAACTGTTGCTACCTGATATAAGACACCCCGAACTTAAGAATTTACTTTAGTATTTCCTTTAAAACGATGTTATCTGGGCTGGTATTACAATTTTGCCGCCCTGGGCTGACAACAGTTTGCTGCCTCTAGATTCAGTAACTAATGACCTCAGATGGCTTGCGGTGAAAATTAAGAATTGCCGCCATGGGCCCTGGAAGTTTTGAGACTTTGAATACCACTTTGAAGTTAAATCTTGGACTGAGAAAGCTTGTTAGAGGTAAAGAGGTTTCAGGACACAAGCTGAAGCTCGTCATCCAATGTTTTCGCCTCTGAGAACAATTATGTAACTGCCCAACTGCTGCAAAAGGATGAGGGAAACGAAAAAGGTTGCGGCTATTTAAATTGCCTTATGCCTTGAGATTCGCCCAACTTTTGCCATGGTTCAGGAGATCCAGCACTTTTAGCTGCGCTTAAGGCTAAAGGAGAAAGCGGTTAATAAGTTTAGCCTCCATGTTAGTATACAAGGCTACTGACACAGTTAGATTAAAATACCATTCTTCCTCATTAAATAGTCATTAAATAGTGTGAATTGCCAGTCGAAGTTCAGGGTAAGGACTGTTTGAAAACCTAACCTCAACAGCACATACTTAACGCTTCTCAGGCAGTTCAATATTTAAACTGATTCTCAGGTGAGGAATTAATTATTGACTATCAGGCATAACTTTCCATTACATGCAGCATAATCACACTGTCTTCTCTGTCTGAATTGTCAGTGCTGATTTTATTCAGTTAGACCTGACACTACAGTACCAAATACAGACCTAACCTAGCTCTGAGGCACTGAGAGTTTTCTAGATCAGTAAGGCACGCTTCGATTGAGATGATATAAATATGAGTCCTTAGTTATTAACAAGTAGATAACGGCTGTGGTCATAAAAGTGAGGATGAGTTAAAACTGTTAGTTGAGCTGAGCAGTGCAGAAAAGATGATCCGTGTCATCCGTTTGACTGCATGTTAGTTTTGAAAATAGACATTAGCCATTCAATTTTCAAAGCAAAACATGGCTGAATTGACTTAAGAATAAACGTTACTTACAGATCTAACCTGTTTTTTCAAAAGGAAACTGATGCAGCTCCAAACTCTAGATGCTAGTAGAAGGAACGCACGAAGGCCCATTTGCAGTTGTTTCAGCATTGATGACGGCTGGATCTCGGATATTTGAAGTGACGAGTAACACTAAAATAACTAGAGCACTTAACAATCATTTATGATAAAGTTGTCGTTCTTTATTCAAAAGACGGTAAAAAATGAAGCTTAAAAAGTAAATACATCACTAGCGAGATCGGATGCGGCCATGACGTTTTTCACGGAACTTGGGGGGTGCCAACAGAGGAGGGGCAGGGGAGGGAGATTATGAGAATGAGATAGGGAATGTTCTTTGTATCTTGCTTTTGTTGGAGGAAGAGAGACAGAATGACCGGGAGTGGGGAGTGAGACTGCGCGGTGCGCGCCGCCGTGCGGTGAGCGTTTCGGAAAGTCGCAACGTGAACATCATAGAGGAAACATAGAGCCGTCTTTGAGTCATGGGCCGCTTGGTGCCCCCTCGATTAAAAAAGTCGTCTCTTATTGGCTGACGGTTCGCGCTGATTTTCCGTAATTTGAAGTTGAAGCCCTTGCAGTTGCAGTTCGTAATATGGATTTTTTTTTGTTTTTCGTATCAATTTTTCGAACTTCAACCGTTAATTTTAGAAACTATTCTGAGGAGAATTAGTGAGGAGGAGAATTTTAGGGATGACTGGTTTACTCATGAGTTTTACCTCTCAGATTTTGTTCATCGCGCGTGAGAAACTGCATTATTGGATATCCCCTCCCTCACTTTGAAAATATTCATAGCAATTTCTCCCGAGTAATGGAAAAATTTAGGTTTAAGATCCATTCATTTTTTCAGAAAATTCTTGAAGATACACTTTTAAAGTTTCCAACATCCAAAATGTAAATTCATCTTCGTTTTCTCTAAGTACCCGACTACCCGAAAAAATAATTGAATAAAAAATCACCATGCCGGATATTTATTTTCCTTACAGAGATACAACATTTTACTAAAAGTTTGAAAATGAATTCGAATTGACTCCGTTAAAATTGCTGCAATTTACCTAAAATAATATGCCACGAAACGCATAAAAGCAGTGAAATCTTAATTTTGAAGTTTCTTCTCGAATTCTTGGATGCATAGTGCATACGCAACTCCTTGGTTGGAATTGAAAAATGAAATTTCACTTTTCAGCAATAAGAAATTTCATTTTTTAAAAATATACTTGAAAATTGCCGGGAACCGTCAGCCAATCAGAGTTAGCGCCCATATCTCCGTAGAACTACGTAGAACTAGGGGTGTGCGTGTGCTGTGCCACACAGAGGGGAGCTCTAACCAACGATCTAACTAACTCTATAGTAAGTAATTAACCTCTCTCCAGCCACCCAATACGGCCAATACTCTCCTGATATGGCAAATTGATCAATCCGTTTTTAATTTTTCCCTTAATCTCAAGTTCTGACACATCGCATTGCTCATCCAACATGAGGCTAACGAACTTTTTGTTCTTGGAGGCAAAGAAATACAAGAGACATAGATTGCCACATGGTCACCTGTACCACGGGTATGATAAATTTTAACCAGTTATCATCTAAAGTTTTAAGAACGATATCAATCTACCTCTTTCATCATTCTAGATTACCAGTTTATCATTTATGTTCTCATGATTGTCTGTTTGGGCATGCTTAAAAATCAATTGTTTAGATGGGAAGGACTACGTATGGAACACGAAGACATTCAGTAATGGAGATAAGAGAGACGAAAAGAATTGAATTCAGTGTCTTCTTGACCGCGTATTAAGGAATTTTCCATTTAGGACAGGGTTCAATTTTTAAAATCTTGGCAGGCTTATCGTTAAGTACACTATTTTACACGAGACCCACAATGGGACGCAAGATGTTAATACATGCGGTGTCTCAAAGTATGCCAAACGGGAACACTGATCCAATTCCTCCGAATAATCAGAGCTTGCGGCGCAGCATCCCAACACTAATAGCAACAGTCCCACGGCTTCACTAGCAAATGTGTGCACAATTCACGCCAAATAAGTTTACTCACTGTTAGACTGTGACGGAAGATCCGCCCTTTTGATTCTTGCATTGGATGCTAATCCGACCTCTGACAATCTTGTGTCGCAGTCGGAAAGTACATGAACTTATTTGGCATGGACTCTAGGAGGGCTGAAAAAGTCATGTTTTAGCCCTACTTTTTTCCAAATGAGCACTAGTAAGTCTTATTAATTTAACAGCTCATTGTGCCCAGGAAGTCTTTGTGAACTCTGTACCAAATGATATCCAAATTTAGCTGGCGCCTTTCTTGGTGCTCTGTGTGTATTTATTTCTCCTAAGTTATTAGAAGGAATTGATTTGAGGTTGAAACAACTGGTGTCGGACAATTTGGCAGTTGTCTACTTTAACTTTCTCAATCAGTTGCTGTTACTTTTTTGCTGTAGAATGTTTTAAAAATCTGTGCATTGTAGCATGACCCTAAGTCTAAAAAATGTGAAAAACTTAAATATTGGAGCCATTCAAAATTCTACGGAAAATGTCTTTTACAATTTGCATTTAAGAAGCAAATTTTAGAGAAATCACCTATAATGGGCTACTGAAAACTGATGTGCCCACATCCAGTTATAATTAACACCTCACACTTGATTAAACAGATGGGAATGGGTGAGGATTGCAGTTTCTCTTTTATCTCAGCCCAGAGTCACAAACAAGTGTATTAAGTCATCTATTCTGCTTACGCCACAGTAAATTCTAATGACTACCCACAAAAGAATCACTAAAAGTGAACCATTTTGATAATTGAGACAAATATTTCTTCTGTTGAAGTAAGCACAAGATCATCGTACCACCCACTGCTCTTGAAGTCGCCCAGTTAGGTCGAGAGCTAGAAATTGAAGAACGAAATATGTTCTACCTGCGCCATTCTTATCTCACCAAGGTAAGCTATCTGTCATCTTGTTCATTAATTTTGCCAGCAACCTATCATTGAGTGATAAGTCAGAATGAAGCTTATGCCTTTCAGAACATCTTGGGATGGTCGAATATTTCATCAATCAATCATCTGATGATTCAAATTCTCAATTACTTAATCAAAGAAAGTAGAATCAAAAAGTTCAAAACAATATAATTTTTATTGGATAATTGTCAATTCCTAAGAACAGCATTAAATGGGAAAACATCTGTTGGTGAACATGTTTTTAACTTAATCATCAAATTTCTGTAAGAGCTTTAATGAGTTTACCTACATTAATGGTGAAATTGTAAAAACATGTATTCTGATTGTTGTGTCTTAAAATTTTCTGTTCTAATTTTGCATACATAGAACATGGTAATAATCTAATCTGGCAATTTAATCCATCCACATTCCAAGGGTACACTGATTAAGGTCCTGATAAATATTCAAAACTAGCCTAGTTGCTGTTTCTATTGAATCTTGAAGGGGGCACCAATCGATTTAAAAAAAGGCAAATTTACTCAAGGGAAGGTTAGTACAAGAACCCAACAAATCTTGAAAAATGCCTCTACATTAACTGATCAAAATCGAATGGCAAAAGATCAAATTTTACAATTAAAGACGAATTAAAGACCATTTCCGTCTTCCCTGCCTTTTTCACTTGGATTACACTGGCTCATGCTAGAAACAGCATAAGTGCAGTAGGTTTCTCTCTACATATAGGTGTTTTTATGGATGAGTCTGAAATGATACTTCCTAATTGTAAAATGCAGTCCCATTGGCACTTTTGAATGGAAGTAAGTTAATGGGCCAGTTGCGCTGGTAACAAATCGTGTTTTGATGCTTTATTCTTGCAGATTAACTAAAAATATGATCTGTCAAACAGCAACTTTCTACGTTGAATATCGACGGGGATATCGTCTTTTGAAAAGTCGGGGTTTTAGACGTCATCTACAGCAGTGGTGCATAATATGGTATGTACTACCGCGGTAGACGACGTCATTAATCGAGTTTTTCAAGGCGGGTATCTCGGTCAATATTCAACGTAAAAAGTTGTTGTTTGGACAGATCTTCTTATTTTTAGTTGACCTGCAAGAATAAAGAACAAAACCTGATTCTGTGACCAGCGCAACTGACCCATTACCGATGTATGTCCTGTTTTGAAATTTGGAACTTACGTTTTATGTTTTCACGGAAGCACCACTTAATTTGTAATTTTTATAGTTTCATTTGTTTAATTAAATACATTTTCAGGACAAGTTTCCAGGCTTATCAGGTCAAATCAGTTGGAGTTAACTCCACTTTGGGGCGAAGTAAAATTATTTTTATTTTAATTACCTATCCATTCAGATCAAATATAGTAAATCATTTGGAAGACTTTCCTTGTGGGGAGGCTTTCCTCTTTTAATCTGAAGGGTTTCCTCATACATACTTTTGTGACTCTTCAGTCATACAACATGAAATTAACCAGAAATTGTTCAATGGTAGATTTTTTCCCAGTTTTTCTTCAGAAAATTACTCCTCTCTGTTACAGGAAGAATCTAAAGCTCACAGGGCAGCGTTGGAATACTGTAAAAAGTCAATAAAGGACCTTATAACATACAAGAAGAATAAGTTTTCACAGCCAGAGAGATTATCAGAGCATCTGGAACATTTGAGACATGGGGAAAGATGGGATTGCATCTAAGTGAAAAAGTGTTTCGTTATTTAACTTTTATTTGTACAGATTTCGGTTAGTAAAAAAGGCTTTGATTTTGAATAAATTTTACACAAGTCATGAACTCGAATTGTGTCGTCTACTTTATTGAACGAAGACAAATAAGCCAATCAGTGTTGTGAACTGATTTGAAAAAATGAAATCTCACAAGTGTCAGGTTCTGCTAAAATTCAAAAATCAACATAAATAGTCTTTCGAACAGAATATGTATACATAAATAAATAGACTTTTTAGATTGTCAAATTGCTATGAGCACATCAAGTATGTCCAAAGTTACCTTACTTCAAGACAATTTAAGCTGTCCACATCTCATTTTCAAATTTGCTGCGTCTGCTGGAATTTTTTCTTCATTGTCAGCAATCAGGTTTGCCTCAGACGTAGACGTAAGGAAACCCTAAATATCTAAGCGCTTTTGTAAAATCTTATCAGTCCTTCTCACCCATGATTTTGGTTATTTTAAAGAATTTTTTCGTTGTATACAAAAACAGAACGCCTTACTCTAATTAAAATCACCTGTGTAAAAGATCGGAGACAGTTTGCAAGATTATTTATATATTTAAGTTCGGTTTTCCTACATCTTTCTCTGAGCAAACTCTATGGTTGCTAAAAATGAAGAATGTGTCCACAGATGGGGAAATTCAAAAATGTGTGGTACTGACTGCATATACCGTAGTTGAGAGTGGGTTCTGGACTGTTAGACATGCTCAACAATATTTTGGAGCAGTTTTACCTACTTTTTAAAACTCCATCCATTTGCATGGGCGTAGCCATTAATGGGCCATTAAGACTGTTAAGGGGGTTGCCTTGAGAATGTCTTGGGACTGCTCTCTTAAATACAACACCTCATTGGGTCACTCAATGTCAATTTCAATCATAATTATCAAATTCTGACTGTTTGTCTTGACATTTTTTCATTTTTGTTCCTTAAAATGTGTAGGTAGTGGCGAGCTTTAATTCTTTAAATACTTTGTCAAAATTGGTGATGAATTAACTCCCTCAGTGATACATTAATATGCTGTGAGACTCTCCCTGATCACTTTTCCCTAGGACGTATTCGTATACAATTTGTATTGTCTGAAGCTAGGTCTTGGAATCATTTGCACTTCCGAATTTGTTATTAATAAGTTTTATCCTGTTAGAGATTTCGAGTTCCTAGAAAACCTTTAGCCGACAAAATTTGACTTGAAGTTTGGTTTTTGCTTCGACAATCATGAAGGCTTAAAACTTTGAGTCTATTTTTTCTATTTCAAGTCTATGACCCTTGATCCTCTCCTGCTGAATGCTGCCCTATTGAATCTGAGAATGAAAACACATCAACTCGGAGACTTAGGAATGCCATTAACGATGCCCAATTCTCCTAAAAGCCATTGAAGATGGTGCCTCTTTGTTAACTTGGGCCTTTAAAGTTTCACAAAGCAATTGTCCCGTAACACTAGGAAGCTTTTTTATTAGACGAACTTCTTCACATATTGTGTAGTTTTATGTGTCTCTTGAACATTTTCATTTTTCCAAGTTGGTGTGTTTTCATTCTCGCCGATTTAATTGTAGCTCAATCCATTTCCTGATTCTTGATTTCAATGATCCTGAAATCTAGAAAGTCCAATAAACTTTTGGTTGTTCTTATCACTAAGTAAGTCAGGGGTGAAGATTATGCTCAACTGCACAATCCAAGTTGAATGTTAGCATATTTTCTGTTGCAAGGCAATTTCTGAAGACCTCTTTTTTCTCATCCCTTTAGAAAAAGTTTCACAGTAGTTTCAAAGCACTTCCTCTATTTTGCTGTGAAATCAAGCATTTTGCCATAATCTTGGACATTTTCTCTCGCCCAAGGGAAAATTTCATCATCAGGCAAAAATGCTGAGTTGCAAAAGCCAGTCAGCCATCCATACTTTTTTACGTAAAACTTCCTAAAAAAAGTTTTACTTAATGCAATTTTGTCAGACCATATGAAATTTTTAAATCCGATTTTTTGTCGTGTTTGTCCCCTAGTCATTAGTTAGGTAAAAGCATTGATCACATGAAAAGGTAGAATGAAAAATAAATATCTATCTTTTAAGGAAGAAAATGAACATTTTATTAATTGATATAAAATAAAATACAAATAGACCTACAAAAACAAGTCTTACATGAAAAAAATGGCAGTCAATTAATTTTTGGGCCTTTGAAAGCACCTTTGCAAGGCAAGTGCAAGAAAAATACATATCCATAATTTCTATATCAATGAAACGCCAGTGAAAAAAATAAAAATAAGGCTTTGTAGATTTTCTGGCATTTGTCAGCTATGTGAATTGTAAACTTTGTGAAACAAGCACCTTTAAGCTGAAAAATGTATTTTTTATTGCATTACCGGTAGTCAAGGCAAAAAAGATAGGAGACCTGCAGGATGCTGCACAGATGTTATTGTCCTCTGGGTTAAAAGCGAGGATGTTTTCAAATCCTATTCTAAAACTGGGTTCACAAGTTGAAAAAAATCGTGAAGTTGAAGAGGACTGATAGTGGAGTGGGACCAATACAACTGCAAATTGATACGTAGACATATTGTACACGTAGACGGTGAGTGGAAGTTTTTGAGAATGCATACTTCTAATCTGCAAGCTGTTTCGTTGACTGTCCAACAAGGTTCATCCACGAGAAACTCTCATTAGAATGTTCAGAAATGTTTTTTTACCACGACCAAAAGCTTATTTTCTCCATCCGATAGAATTATACACTAATTTACATAGTATTTTTACATATAATACAAACACACTTATGAAAATGTACTTAACAAAAATTTTACAGTTCGATTCTTAAGGCTTAGATAAATGCAGTATATAGGAGCCTGGGTAATAAAATTTTATACAAAGGAATTGTATCAACTTTGCTTCTTCTTTCAAAGCGTTGACATCAGGTGTCAGCAGGTAATGGTGGTTTTAATCTTGGAATGCATCAGAGGCATAACGACACTAGTCCCCTTGTTTGTACACCAAAAACAGCTTCATTGTCGGTATATTAAGATAGATACATCCATCCAGCTCGTTGAGGGGGTAACTTAATTATTAAAAATGTCTTCTTTAAGTATTGTTTTACCTTTTTTGAAGTACCCCATTAAAGGTCTTTTCTCGAGAGGGGCATATAGAGATTACAATTTGAAGAGATAGAAAATAAATGGAGTAAAAAAAAAAAAAAATAGAAAGAAATAACAAAGAAAGAAGGAACAAAAGGTATCAGTGAAAGTAATAATTTGGTCATCAAGTTTCCAGAGAAATTACTTCTTACTGAAAAAGGAGCTTAACTACTTTGAATAGTACCTATCAACAGTGGTTCAACTAAAAATGAAAAACATGCTATTTTCCTCTGAAAATAGTTGCTCAGATTTTTGTTTCATTTCATATCTTATTAAAATTGAACTAGAGTAGGGATACATCATTAGTACTGTAAACCTGGTTGACTCTGGGGGTATGGTGGTGGCGGTCCTACTGTTGGGATTCCTAGATTTTGCTGCATTTGTAACGCGCTGTGTTCACTTCTGGACCCTTGTGTCATACCAGTATGGTAGCTATTACACTGTTTCATTCCCGCATTACAACTTGTACCTTTCTGGTTACTGCTAATATGATGGGTGTAACCGTAGTCATCCCGTTTTGAATGCTTGCTTGGATTATTGCCGTTACCATTGCTGTAACCAGAGTCCTGGTGGCTATTGGCCTGTTTGCCATAAACACCAGTAGCATTCATTATCGCTGACCTCACACCGTAAACATTCTCCATTCCGAGCCGTTGCTGATTCTGTTGATTTTGATTGGAAACACTACTATTTGAAGGAGATGGCGCGGAAATGGTGTTGAGCCTCATTGGATAGAGAGACTGCGCAGGAATCAGTGGCCCTGGTCGTGGAGGACTCTCCCGCATGTTAACTGAAGCCATGGGAGCCATAGGTTGAGAGTTCGAGGATTTCGTGTAGACTGATTGTGAACGGTGGAGATTGGCACGAGTTAACACAGGCGACTTGGTGTAAAGAGACTTAGTACCTGCGTACAGCGATTCAACACGATCAATCTTAGAAGGCGCCGAGTAGAGACTCGCAGAGTTGAGACTCGGGCAGTATCCATGGATGACACCTGTAAAAAGAAATTTCATTAAGTACTTCGTGATGATTTGACTAATCCCTAATGGCAATTATTTTAAAAAAGGAATGTCTGATTTTAGACTCATCCAAGGGCAGTATGTGTAGCTTTGGAAAACACCTAAGGCTCATTGATCTTTTTCTGATTTTCATGTTCTCAAAGGTACAAGATTCCAAGAGTATAATTGAATGCTCCTAAATTTGGAAATAATGGGTCTGATTCCTGAAAACTGCAATTTCCTGATCTAAATTAAATTATTAGTTCCTCTCATAAAATTAGCTGTTCAGAAAACAGTACTTACACTTAAGTGCAATTCCCCTCTTTGTGAAAAATGTTTCATCAAAAAATATAACGTCTCTGCTATCTTATGAGTGAAAAAATTTCACCTATGACCAACATCTTTCACTTATCTGGGCCTCACATTTGAGAGAGTAACCATTAAACATACCGACAAATTCTGTCCTTCAGATGTTTGCTAAAATTTAATGAAGATAAATTAATCTTAACATTCTTGATTTCACACATTATTAATTTAAATCATTAAAAATAATCTGCGTCGAATGAATCAAGAAAAGAGTGAATCACCTTTCACTAGGTACACGTTGTTGTTATTGTGACTATTGTGATGTGTTTACAAACAAACCAAATTTTACCCATGCGTGCTTGCTTCGCGTGCTGCGCATGCGCCAAACCATTCATCAATGAACCGTCCGCGAAAGAACGGACCAATGAGAGACCAAGGATTCTTCATCGTTGTACTACGCGTAGTATTTTGTAGTGAGTGTTGCCACATCGAATGAGCTAATGAAAGTATGATCTTCTCATGCCGTGAAACATGAGTGTAATCATGTACCCGGGATTTTAATAGGTAAGACTTTTGCATTTTCTTCTACACGCTCTCCTATCACGACAACGAACCAAAACCCTCGAAAGGAAAGGAGGCGTCAATTTTTCGTCGAAATCAGAAAATTCGATTTTTTTACTCCACCTAGAGTACCTGTATAGCGAGAGTATAGACAGATGTTCTTTTCCTCACAAACGGTTACCAGAGCGCGTCCGTGGGGGGGGGGGGGGAGTGTCCCAAATTTTGGGGAGAAAAGTGTTCTCCCAAGACACTCGCAAGGACTAGCAAGTCGACCCGCATCGATACCGCTGTCTAGGTGTTTGAAAAGAGTTTGGCTGCCTCTTGAATTCCAAAAATCAACAATTTGAATTTTCAAGCGAAACTTTGACTAAACAATTGTTCTAGGACAAAAATACGCACCATTAGGTGAAGTTGGATGAGCCGCCATAGTGCGATACAAATCTGTTCCACTTTGTATCGCTCGCAAAGTGTTGTAGGTGGATCGTTGTTTGTCAAGATCATCGTACGTATCTTCATCAGAGTGTATACTGGACGAATCTGTGGAGAACAGAACGAACGAAATTAATTTTAATATTAAAACAATAATTATGTTTACTAACGAGCAATCGAAATGTCAGTACATAGTAAATCCCTCTTTTATTTTATCATCACTTCATTCCACTAGTGTAGGTCCTTTTTCTCCTCTGAGAGAATCACCAAGTGACAGAAAATTCCTGAACTGTTCGATACATACGTTAGTTCTAACTCAAGAAACCAAAAAACATGGTTCCAAATGTAATGGACCATTGGACCACTACCGCCGCCCAGTGGATCGAATCAATTAGAAAGGTCGGACATGAAATTTTGGACTAGAACCGCAAATTTTGATCTTCATTTCGTCACATTTTAAATTTAAAGGGCTGTTTTTCAACGATAATTTTACGAGGAAACCAATGAAACCACTTTCAGAACCTCAAAATTTTTTGTAAACCCTGGTAAAAATTGGCGATAAGAGCTGCGTTTCAAAATACCATAGGAGCTCTTATAGCCAACTAAAGAAGGCTATTGAAAATCATATAGCTGGCTGTAGAAAGCGGAGCAAATCATACAGCCGGGCTGTACGAAGCTATAAAAAAGTATACAGTCGGGCTATAGTTCCTATCGCCGGGCTTTACACTTCATCGCCATTGGCTATAAAAGGCTATAAGAAATTGTGTAGAAATTCGTGTGCTTTGGAAATCATTAAGTTTGATACGGAACTATCTTAATATTTACAAAACACACATTATAATTTTCCTTTCATCATATTGTTTTTTTATCAATTAAAATGAGATGGTCAATACAGTGTGTGCAAACATTTCAAAATCATGAGTTGAAAAACGCTGACTCCGCGAGATTTAGTATTAGAGCCTAACACAAAGCGGAGCAGCGACGTACTGGCGCCTACAAACCTAACAGGGATACTTCACGCATTGCGCGGTGACGCACGGGCGCCTACAAACCTAACAGGGATACTTCACGCATTGCGCGGCGACGCACTGGCGCCTACAAACCTAACAGGGATACTTCACGCATTGCGCAATGCGTGAAGTATCCCTGTTAGGTTTGTAGGCACCAATGCGCGTTTCGCGCTCTCTGCCCGCCCGCCGCGCCGCAGCGTGCGACGGCGTCTGAAGCAACTATTTTACACCAGAGGTATTGCACAGTATCATAAGAAATTGAAGGCGCTCCAACATATTAAGAATGACAGGCATCCTTCAAAAGTACGGAGCTTTCCTCGCAAAATAAATCAAGATACTACGGCACAAAAAGAGAGCGGTAGTCCAAAAACTAAGTCCTAGTATCCGTATTTAGTAACGTTTAGCATAAACTTTATCGTCTGGCTGTTGCTTTGTCGCCATCGGCTATAAAAGGCTATAAGAAATTGTACAGCCGGCTACAGAGGCTATTGGAAAGCTAACAACCGGCTTTAGGTCTATAGTATATTGGAACACACATTCTACTGCCAATTTTTACCAGGGAACGAAGTTATAAGCTTTTAAAGTTTCCGAATTTTGTCCGACCTCTCTTATTGTCTTATTGATTCGATCCACTGTGCGCCGTGCTAAGTAAATACGCCGTAAAAGCATTCGAACTTTGTCAAATTTCTTCTTTGAAAATATTTTATTTTTTAAGAATGTTATGAATATGTACCTATCCTTGAAATTTTCAGACTTTTTAGCTCAAATTACGAACGGAATCCGGTGAAAAATCAGAGGAGAAATATTCACACATTTTCCTGAAATTCCGTCGAAGGAAATTTGGCAACGCTTGATGGCTCATGCGGAGTGTTCATTATAGCACGACAGACTAGACGAGGCGCGAATTTTAGCACCATGCTGAAAAATTCCTCATCAAAATTTCACGTAAAATACGGTTCATAATTATAATGAATTATTTCTTTTGGGACAACTTACCTTCATCCATGTTTGTGTTGGAGTTCTTTTGCCTGTTTGAATTGAAAATATGTTCGAATATAAACGCAGCTAAAATCCCACCGCTGATTGGACCGCACCAATTGACCTGAAACCAAGGTAAATTAATATAGTACCCGAGTATAAATAATTAACTATGCCAGTAAACTATGGTTACTAGGTAATAATTGACCCTCTTCGAAGTCGAATCTCTGTAGTTTCTCAACCAAGTTATTGTGCCAAATACAATAGAGTAATTTTTTTATCGCTTAATTTTCATTATTATTATTATCATCATTTTGCTACACAAGCATTAAAAGTAAATTCAATTAAGTGAAGGCTTTTAATCTTTAGCCTTTTTTAAAGAAAATGATGTTCTCGCACTTCAAGGGCTATAGTAACAGCTTGTGAAGAAATTATGAAGGTATTCAAAATATATGCTCATTAATAAAAATAATTTCTCACCCAATGATCTGTCCACTTGTTCAAGACGAATGCTGGACCTAGTGCACGCGCAGGATTTAGAGATGGCATCTGAAAAAATAATACAAGAAATTAATAATATTTCGATGACTCACATATTTAAGAACATAAACATACCCATGTAGCACAGTTGCAATAAATTGAAATTGCATAGCGAAATCGTTGACACCGTATCGGAGTGTAGTGTTTGTTGCATATTCACTAAATGAAGGGGCCCCTTTTATTGAAAATTGCAAGAAAATTGAAATACGTCGATACTTGTGTAAATCGATGGCCAAAGTGCGAAACCACGTACCTCCGTTTGCGACTTTGCAGATTTCCTGTCTCGCTTTATTTTTTCTCTGGAAATCTAGGCTACATATTTTCTCGTGAACTTCCTTGGTTTTCCTCTGTATCAGCAAAATATTCTGTAAAACATTTCAAGCTATAAAGTTGACTTGTTCCTCTTCGAAAAAATAAAATAGGAAAGGAAACTTCGAAACACAGCAAATGGAAATACGTGGCTACGTACTTTGACTATATATTTCGATGAACAAAGAGCAAAACCATGTATATCTCCGTTTGCGACGTTGCATACTTCCTGTCATATTTTATTTTTTCTGTGGAAACTTAGTCCACATAATTTCATGAAAAATTCCCTGATTTTTCCCTTTTATTAGTAGAATATTCTGTAAAAATGTCAAGCTATAAAATTGCCTTGTTCCTCTCTGAATGAACAAAATAGGAGCGAAACTTTTGAAACACCGCCATAGAGAAACGTGTTTTCGCCCTTCGGCCATGGATTTGGTGCTTCTATAGCGCTTCTGTGCGCTCGGCTGACTATCTTTTCCGCATAAGGTACATTTGTGGTAATTTTTCCGATTATCGTTATGCCGCACCAAATCATTTTCTGTAGGATGTGGCAACGTCGAGAAAAATATGAGGCATATTTAAGAAAAATGAGTGAACAAGGATTGAAAAAATTATTTAGATATTAAAAATAAGTTGAAGTATAAGCACGCAGATGAAAATGGAACATTGACGGACGAAAACCTGGACCCTGACGATCCCTGTTGGACTGCTGAGTAAGTTAAGTAATAATTTTTTCAATCTTTGTTCACTCATTTTTCTTAAATATGCCTCATATTATTCTCGAGGTTGCCTCACATACTACAGAAAATTATTTGTGCAGCAACGATGATCGGAAAAATTACCACAAATGAACTGCTTTGTGCGGAAAAGATAGGTATTCTTCCGTGCGCTCCAGGCACGTAGCCAGGATTTTATTTCGAGGGGGGCTTGGTCGGGTAAGGGGTCCCCCGGAAATTTTTTTTGAAATTTGAAATCTATTTGGACGTATTTTGAGGCTTTTGTGACGCAGATTTTCCACACATTTCTGCAGAAAAATCACACTTCTTTCATACTTTTAGCCTAAAATACCTTAACCATGTTGCATTCAATATATCTGGGAATTTTTTGAAATTTTAACTCTATTTGGTCACATTTTGAAAGGTCAAACTTCCCATTTTCTCGCCTTTTTTTATTTTCCTCCTCTTCTCTTCTTCATTCTTTTCCTGCTTTTTTGGCTTTCGGGAGAGACTTGAGCCCCCCGAGCCTTCCCCCTGGATACGTGCCTGGTGCGCTCTGCGACTCCCAACCGTTACCTACTTGTAGTGCCCAACTCCCGCAAGAGCGACCGGGGATAAGCAAGCCGCTGTACCCGGACGAAAAGAAAGAGTGAGATGAGGTTGGAGTACTCACGGCGACGAGTCCGCAAGCGAAATAGGCGGCGGCGACGGGGAAATGGGGTCGGTTGAAGAGCTTCCGTTTTCGGTCGGTCGTGATGAAGTACGTGAAGACGACGACGAACGTGAGAACCATCTCCGATGCGAATCTGTCCCACGCGCTCAGGTGGAACGGCGAATGACTCGCCCGTGCGTTCAGGTTCACGTAGTGGTTCGGGTTCGATATCCTGCAACATACACCAATTCAATTCCGTCAATAAAAATAGTGTCATGCACGCAATGGTTTGACAGCAGGATATAAAAATCAGCATCACAATCAATGGAAGACCTCTCGGAAAAAAAGCACATCGATAGCCAAAGTCAGGGTTGCCACGGTCAGGGAAAACCGGGAAATATCAGGGAAAATGACGAAAATGTCAGGGGAAATTTGTTAAATCACCTTCATTTACCTTCTAGAATGGGCTTGAGATTTTGAACAAGACATTTTTCGTGAAAACTTTTAAAAGGGCAACCATCCGTCAGATCTTCAATTGTCGCAAGAAATTTCACCGAAATGTGTCACGGAAATATCAGGGAATTTCATTTTCAAAATTCTGTGGCAACCTTGCCAAACTGCGAAACCGCGTAACTCCGTTTCGAGCGTTGCAGGCTCCGTGTCATACTTTATTTTTTCAGCGGAAATCTAGTGAACTTTATTCCTTGGAAACTGCCTAGATTTTTCCTCTCTATTAGCAGAACATTTCGTGGAAAAACCAAGTTATAAAGTTGGCTTGTTTCTCCTCGAAAAAATGAAATAGGAGCAGAGATTTTGAAAAACTGCGATTAAGATATGTAGTTTCGCACATCGATATACTCTCGCGGCCGTTCCTACATGTATGCCAGGTTGCAGCGCGCTGAGTGCGAAGGCGCGTTTATACCTCGAGCTGTAAGTCAATACTCTCAGGCGCGATCTGTATTGTGTCATTTGTTAGCATACCTACACGCTTATAATTAAGAAAACAACTGGAGCATTCTCAACTCTGGAGTATACTTACCTTTTTCACTTGCTAAGACTTGCTTTTTATTTTGATAAAAAAAATAACTATATCTACCATAATGCCCATGAAAACCCATTTTTCACGAAAATTTTAAAATATGAAAAAAAAACAGGTCCGAAATTATTTTTATGACCATTTTAAAAATAATTTCACACAAATATTTGAAAATTGTTTAAAAATAATTGAAATACGACGTTAAAACTACAAATATCTCTTAGTGCCTTTCAACGTTAGCGAATGTTTTAAACAATTTTCAAATACTAGTGGCGTGGCGTAATTTGCGATGTATCGATCGATCTGGTATTAAACCCTATGGAAAAGGGTCGATAAACAAGGTGTTCGCAACTATACATACATACACACATACATACATACATACATACATACGTGAAGCCGCTGTTGCAGCGCAGCCTCGCGCTCTGCGACGCCCAATCGCCATTGCCCCCTATCCTCCCAGAGATCATCAGGCGACTGGCACCTTCTAATCTCCTTCTCCTCCCCTTGTCGCCAACCTTTCACAGGACGTCCACGCCGTCGCCTTCCGGGAGCCTTCGCAACTAACCCCTTAATAATCGATTCTTTAGCATACCTTCAAATGGAGACGTTTCGATCATCGATCATTCATGTGCTATTAGGGCTATGGATGTCTATGTAAGCGACCGCGAACATCATCATTAAACTGGGTCCTTACATTGAGCCGTGTTGAACAGCGGGATTGATTCGCAATAAAGGCCATCGAAGCCGAATAATCGGCGATAGAGCCACGAGACATGGGCGGGAACAGACGCGGAAGTTCACACAGTTATTAGCCGAGGCGCCGCGGCGCGTTTTCGGCGGCCCCGATTTTTAATTTTTCGGGCGGCGCGCGGCGAGTTGAAAGGGGCGCGCGGCCTGGAGGACAATGGGCGGTCATTAAGGGTTGCACTTGATACAGGGTCGTCATATCTGTATCATATCATAACAGCTGTTACACCCGCAATTCAAGTTTCGAGAGGACTTCATCACTCGCCGCGACCCTCCCCCTCCCCCGTGGACGGCTATGTCGTCGGCGCCGGCTCGCTTTTATGCCCCGCCGCGGCTCTGTTGCCGTCCGCAATAGATAGAGAGTATTTTAGAGATCCCAACTCCTATCCTTTCTGTGATATGAAAGTTACTTTTGAAGGTCAAAAGTTTTTTGCGATCCTAACCTAATTTGCAAAAACTCGCCTAAAGAGCTCAACACATTCGTCAGTCATCCTTAGGAGAATTTTATATGCTTCTTTGCTCAACGAGTGCTCAAAAATCATCATTTGGCGAAAAACAGCGTTGACCTCTGAATGGGTCGGTTAAGCCTTTTATTTTATTTTATTTATTTTTTTTTTATTTTTTTTTTTTTTGGAAATTATTGAGTGAATTAAGCTTCTAAAGAAATTTTTTCACCCCTTCTAGTGCCAAAGAAAAGCGCGTTTTGAAAAGGCCAAAAATGGGACCCGTTTGAAACGATAGTTTTGGCGGACACTAATTACGTACCCTGTGTGTGTGCAGGAAACTGTGTTCGCTGGTGGCTGAACTCGTTTTCAGGCATCGCCACGATACGCAAACGCGACTGTTGGCTTTTGATTGGTCGGATTTTTATTAGATTTTTCACCCTTTAGAAGTTATTTTTTTTTTTTTTTAATTTTAAATGAAATGCTTAGGTTTTCCAAGAAATTTTGAGCCGGTGAAAGTATACAACAACCTTGTGAAGGCTCATCAAAATATATTGTTTCAGGGTCGGTGGGTAGGTAGAATTACAATCATGACCCTCTCGAGGGTTATATCGTATTGAATTAGAAGTGTGGCAACACTGCTGCAAATTAATCGCTTACTCGTTCGCATGCCGCCTGCACTTGCAGCCTCCGTACTCCGTAGAGAATAATAAGATAGAGGCGGTGCGCCGTGCGGTGGTGCGGCAGCCGCTCTGGAAAATGCTTCCTGTGAGACGATCGAGAAAAAGTCTAGGTACTGAGAATCTAGCTTCTCGATGGTGCGAATCATTCGCCAATGCGTAGAGCGATACCTTTCTTCTTCATTTCTCTTCATTTTACGGTTACCGGCGGTCTGAAAAACCGGGAAAATCAGGGAAAGTAGGGAATTTACGACGGCCGAGTTAGCCGGAGAAACTTTTAGGGAATTTATGGGAAAAGTCAGGGAATTTTTGACACATCTACTAATCATTAAAACATATCAATAATCTTCCGACTTATTATACCCTTTCTGATAATTTTCAAGGCTTGTCATCTTGTAATCAGCTACTGAATGCATTTTTCCATATTTAATATCCAAATAAGGAAATTTTGTCCAAAGTTTAGCAAAATTCGGCCTAATTTTTTTAAACAAGGAAATTTTGTTGGAAGGTCAGGAAAAGTCAGGAAATCAGTTATTTTGGAGTCGGGGATTTTGAAGATGAAGAAATTTTGGCAACCCTGTAATTTTTTTTCAAAAATCTTATACATATTTTCACAGGTAGTCACAAAAAGTAAATTTTACAAAGTATTTGTGCGAATTCACGACTTCGCGATCATCCACGCTCTCCTTAAATCCAATCATCATGGATGACCGAAGCCTCCTTGATTCTGGAAACTGGCTGTATCCCCAGCAAATAGCGTAGATCTCTGTGCGCCATGACATTCGCGGAATTGATCTCGGGAGGTAGAACGTGTCGTTGTTGGTACTGCACTGGCGCCAGCCCGGATTTCCCGACCGAGAACTTCATTCAATTTCCCATTGTAATAAGGAGACTTGTTCGGCGCCTAGTGATCTCAAAAGTATGTGAAAGGGATTTGGAATGAGGCGGTCTCAGGGTCTGAATATTGACTGACCATTGATGCATGTAAGAAGGGCAAACGTCGTTCACGATTTTGCCGCCTTGCATGGACCGACAACAGTTTGCCGCCCATGGATTCGAAAATGGATGATATTTGAAGTCTTCGAAAGTGCAAATAATAAAATTAAATAAAAAAGTATCAACGGAGATGGATTTTTGGGGGAGGTCGGCTGGAATTTCTAAAAGAGATCGGGTCCGCAATGATATAATGCATCAGATCATGGGAATCAAAATTGGCATCGTATTCGCCTGGTGGGAGTTCAACAGAATTTTCTTCGAAGCATAATTTGCAAATGACATAAGGCACAAATCCTTAAAAAGACGTAGCTCTTGCTCCAAGGATCGAGTAAGTTGTCTGGCCTATCTAAAAAATTGAAGGCGTAATGGTAATCTACGCAGGACCTCCGTACCCTCTGGAATTAATTGAATCTCTTTGTTCGAAAACGATCCTCCTCTACTCGGAAAACCGAAATTTTTCAGGATGAAAATCGCGTAACAGTCAGGAAAGGAGTGTTTATACGCAAGAAAAACCCGAGTTGGGTCGTTTTCGAAAAGATTCAGTTTTGCTTCTTCCGAATTTTCAGACAGAAAACGCCACCGGTCGAACTACTTAAAAAGCAATTCACCCTCTTCGATGCTGCATGAGCGACACAGAAAAAGAGAGTGCAAATCAACCCGATGTAGTGCATCGAATGACCTTAAAAATTAATTACACTAGACTGCCACACGTTATGACTTTCATGACTTTCTAGCGGTTTCCTCGTCTCGCCGATCCGTCCGTCGCGTCGCACTGACATGTCAAACGCTTTCACTATACGATATGAAGAATCCATGAATTTCATTTTTACCGTATGAGAAATTTCCGCAGTTTGGAGTGTTTACTCTAATATCGACGGCAAAACTGCAAAAATGTGTCTCTAGGTTGTGGCGTTACAAAACCACCCCTCGTTTTACTTTTTGACAGGAAACCAAACCAACGTCATGGTTAGAAATAAATGTCACAGAATATTCTCTTTATAGAGATGAAAAATCACTGAAGTTTTCAGGAAATGGCGTCTGGTAGGTTTCTATGCAGAAAATAAAATAGCAAGTCTGACAGCAAGTCTGACAGCAAGTCTGGCATTTCTGCAGTCTCACCATTGTTAAGTGGTCGTTCACGAGGAAATAGACCATCGTGTTTCTTGGAGAAAAATGTTTTAAGGTGTGGATGTTACTCAAGCTCGAATGAAAAATCGGGATATGAGTTAGCAACGTTGAGCACTTTACAGCGTCTTGAAGTGCAGTTTAAAAGAAGGTAAGTTACTCTTGTGTCAACAGGAGGTAAAAAAGACACTATAAAGCCAAT